CGAGCTGCGAGCACTTTAACCATTACTTTGGACCATTTTTCATTCACTGTCTCTTTGGTCGTGGGCTGTCTTTTAAAGCCGCTTGGCATTCAATTGGCATTTGGCTGTCCAGTCGCCTCCACCCCCTGCCCGACCCCTTTTTTACCACTCTTTCTCCGCTTTTTGCTTTGCTCACGTTATTTAAGGATTAACATCATTTTATGCTGCCTCGCAATGCCTTTTTTGCAGGATTAAATGCTGCCGTCTGCTGGCTCTCTCGTTCGCCTGTCAATGCACTTGAAAAATTCAATTACCATAGTTATTTAATATTTTAAAATATTCAAAGTCGTTTAAAATATAAAATCCAAATCACCAAAAACTATATATCAATTTTAAAGAAACAAAATAGAGGAAATGTGAAGAGTTTTTGGTGTTTTTATTGACAAACAAAATATTTAAAAAAATTTTATTATATTTTATAGTTTAAAAATATATACCATTAATTTACAGATTTTAGATAAAAATATTACATAACTTAGACATTAAAAAACAATTTTAAAATTCAATAAAAATGTTTTAACAACTTAAAAAATTTCACAAATATTATATTAAAATTTTTCCGAGTGTGGATCGCCACCCCACCACTCCCCCCGCTCACTGGGGACCCCGCTCTCCTTTCTCCCCTTTGAATTGATTGCATTGCACTTTTTCTCGCTGTTGTTGTTGCATAGTTTGCGCTGATGCGCCGCCTCCATGGCTACAAAGTGATTTTTATGGCTTTCAGACAGTAAGTGTGTGAATGCAAATGTTTGCCTTCGAGTGCGTGTGTGTGTGTGAGTGCACTTTGATGTTTCCGCATTAAAAAGGCGGCACTTTAATAGCGGTGCATTTATCAAAAGGCAGCCAAAAGTCCAACAGCAGCTGGCAGCTTTAACACGCATACGCCCCGTGGGGTGCCGCAAAAAAGTGTTCTGAAAACATAAAGCTATAGGAAATAGAGCTTCCAAGGGAAGACTACACTATCATAGCCACTTTAATTGATCTATTAAAGTTTAATTTAGATCAGTTTGTGGACTTTAAGAATTAATTGCCTAATTAACATAAGCTTAAAAAGCAAAAAAGATCCTTAAGATGGATTATTCTATTCCAAAAGAGAGTTATATAATAAGGTAAATTATTAAAATGTTAAAAAAATAAAAGAAATGAAAAATTTAAATATATTTATTTAATAGTAAAACACCTTTTTCCAAAGATGAAATATTTCAAGATAATAAAATGCCTTTTAAACTGTTAAATCTACTTCAAACTATAATATTGTATAAAGTTCAAAGAGCTTATTTAATGAAATAATAATAATTTTCTTATTTCAGTTTAGGTCCATAATAGAAAAATATCAAATATTAGATAGTTTTCGGGTATTTTTTCCCTAATACCTTTGACTATCGCCCATTAATCAGCACATCGAAGCGCAACCTTTTGCTTATCCTGGACCACATCTGCCTTTCGGAAAAAATACCTCGACCCTAGAGGCTCTAAATTGATTAACAGTAGCCCCCCGACCAACAATGATCGGGTTGGGGGATGTGAAAGAGATGCTGTCAACGCTTCGGCGTTCCCCGTTCCCCGAATGCCTTCCATTTACATGCCATAATTCTTAAATGTCACCCGTTTACAAAAGCCTTGACCATTTGATTTCGGCCGCCTGCGTCTTGGCCCTCGAACAGGTTGAAAGCCGGTAAAAGGCAGGTAAATGGAACCCGCGAGCCCTAAATGAACTCATCCTTTTCATCTCTCCCTTTGTTCGACTCATAGACCCAGCGATATTATATTTATTTGGATCTTTATTGAGCTGCAACCTGTCGCAGTCGGTCGATTTTGGGTTTTGGGTTTGCTTTCTTGTGCCCCTCCCTCTGGATCTTCCCATTTTGTTGGCAGATTTATGTTCTGGCCTCCAAGCAGATACAGATCGAAGTGATAAGATCGAAGGGATGGCCAAGTGTAACTCTCTCTTTATAGAGGGAAATACACTAAGAAAATATTAGACAATTAATATTTAAACATTTCTCTAACAATTTTGAAAGCAAATAAAAGTTATTATTATATTATATTTGTATATCCCAATTTAACTTTTAATTGTTTCATGAACAATATTTAAAATATATATTTTATCACTTTAAAAATATTGAAAAAGTTATTAAAATAGGTTAAATAAAATTAATAACATTTTTATAATTAACAACAAAATATTTTAAAACGTACTCATCGATTTTTTAAATTTTACCTTCTAACTTTAAAAGTATTTTTTTCGGTGATTTGATTTTTTGATCGCTGAAAATTTCAGGGTAATTTGTTGGCTCCGTTTTTCAGTTATATTTGTTGGTCGGTTGGTTTTCGGGACTGGTCTTTCCAAAAACTGTTGGTGGCATGTTCGATTTTCTGTGGCTACCTTTTTCGATTTGTGTCGCAATCGCGCGTGTTATGAAGATGTTACGATCCGAATCCCCTGGTCAACCCCTGAAATATGTATGTCTTAATTGTCTGGGGCTAGAACCATGGAAGGGACAACATTTAATGGGTAGTACATGCACCTACATTCGGTTCCCGGCTGTTTGCATAATTCCTGGTCAGCAGCGCCTGTTTGCTCAAGTTTTGTTTTATGGCCCAGTTATGTGGGCAACATGTGCCAAAGGACATCGTTTTGTGGTGGTAAACGACTGTCCAATGCGTTCTCATAGCCCATAAATCATTGGCCAAGTTGAAATGTTTGGCTAGGAAAAATTTATGTTTATGCTTCCCGGAGGAAAAGGAAAAATACATAGCTCCTTTCACTATTTTGAAGAAATATATTTGGGAAAAATTTGTAAATTTTTAATTTTTTAAAAATACGAAGTCATAGAAAATAATTAGGTATCTGAAATATTCATAAAACATTTAATAAATAAAGAAGCTAAAAAAGTATCTTAAATATTTTAAAACACTTTTTGTTTTTTGTTGAACCTGTAATAATATAGAAAATTATCCTTTCCCCCATTACAAACTCACACCTTTGTTCTTTCTCCTTATACATTATGTATATATATATATTTGTAATAACTCTCTAGTGTATATATAAATTAAAATAAATAAATACATTTTTTTGGTTTGTGGTTTTTGCTTGTTTTTTTTTTTGTCTTGTTAATAATAATTATCATTACCATCATCATTATCATTAGAGTTATCCTCGTCGGTAAAAACGCCGCCCTCGTCCCATTTTTGTGTGTCTTTATCTCATTGCATGCTTGGTTGTTCGAGTGGCTGGTTGCTGTGTGGTTTTCGGTTGTCGCGGTTTTTGGAGCTACAGTGTTTTCAATTTACTAATTAGACCGAATTATCATGATGCAGTAATAATAATAATAATAGTTTATTGCATAACATATTCCGCGTTTGTCCTGCCTTTCCTTGCACATTCACATTCCCATTCCATTTCCCCAACTATTCCAACTACTATTTCTAGCTTCCCTAAAAACCCTCTCAACATTCATTTTAGTCGTCAACGATTTTGTGTGGATTCTTCTTAACAAACAGAGCAACAAACAAAGAAATGCACAACAGGAGCAAATGTTCGATACTTCAGGATACTGTGATACTTTCCTTACCCCGTCGATCTAGCTACTCATCCTCATCCTGATCCTGATCCTATTTTGTTTTTCTTTTTTCTCTGACGCGGGACTAGCCAACAAAGCGTTTTCTGTGTGGTTTTCTGGTACAATACGATTCCGGTGCTTATAATAGTAAGTATCGTTCGGTCTTTAGATTCGAATCTTGAGCAGTTTTGTTCACTAACTTATTTGGTACTGTTGTGGTATCGGCTATAATGCTATATCATATGAGTTATCAAGTATCAAGCTGAGTTCCTAGCGCACCTTATGTCGAAAGCTATTCATACTTATCGGTTAATGTTATGGTTCGGGACTGGAAAATGATAGATGACCGATTGCTTTGGAGCGAGACTAGCGTTGCCCCATGAATGGTGATATCTTGGTTTTTACTCATTTTGGCAGATCCAAAATTCTAGACTGGCCGGCGCACTAACCTACTTACACGCTATATAGGTATAGGTATGTATATACTCGTAGTCGCGTTTCAGATTTGTGTAAATTATTGTTATGTACATTTAGACATGCAGTTCTAGAAGTTCCGAGCGAAGTCCTGCCATTGCTTGTAAAGTTCGTTGTACAAAAGCGGAAATCAGAAAAATCATAACCTTTAGCTGTGGAAAGTCGGTAGTAAAAACAGTAAGTAAGAACACAAAAAGGCAACGCAAGTTTTAACTTTAACTAATCATGTGGTTTCTCTTTTATTATACTTTTCGATTTTCGCATTTTGTTTGTTTTCTTTTCTTTTCACTTGCCTATATATTATTAGATGGTACATATACATATGTAGTTTATACGCTAAGCTAATTATTTTGTTTAACAATAAATGTATAGCTGCTTGACATCCATCTTCTTCTACTCATCATCATCATCTTACTCCATTGTCTGTGTTTTTATTTTGCTTACGAGTAACAACGAATTTTAGCTGCAGCTTCTTTGCATTAAGGAACAGAAAATAATAAGGAAATTCTATTTCGAAAGAACATAAACGTAATAAGGAAAAATTCAAATCAAAAATCATATTTAACAAATTTTCATTAATTAAAATTACAAAATAATAATAATTGACTCTCTAAATCATAGGTGTATGTTATTTTATAGTTTTCATAGGTCTTAAATAAACAGATTAAGTGGCTTGTGTCGAGACTTGTGTGTGTAGTCGAAGAGCTTTACACGAAATTTTGCTGGACAAAATTAGATATAAGACTCGCCCCAATTCTGGCGGCAGGTTTTTGGGGGTCCTCGGGTTTGTCCGGTCGGTCGATTAGTTGATGGAGTTTCTAGTCTAGCTTCTGCTTTCGGTTGAGATTTCTAACATAATTAAAACGCATTCAATTAAGCACACCAAAGCAAGGCGATGTTTGAAATTTAGAAAATACATTTTTCTTTTATTGGTTTTTGGTAGCAGCTTTGAAAATAATCGGTTAAAATAGTATTCGAGAATTCCCGGAGATTCTCTTGCTTTAGCGTGCAAATAGCTAACGTCTCTGAGGTTGTTTACTCGATCTCTGAAACTTCTCTCAGTCTATTTGCGGTCCTGTCGAGAGCTCTCTCGGAACTAAAGTCTACCTGAATATCCTATATGTTAGCTCGAGAAGAAGGGGAGTGGAAGTTACGTATCCGTATCGGTCGAGTGTTCAGTTCGAAAGTCCGTTGTTGTTTTTTTGGGGGGCCGTCGTTGTGTGTGTTCATTTATTGCTTCTTCGGGTTCTCGATTTGTTGTTTTATTTTAAAGACTATTTATAATGGCACAAAATATACAGCATTCAATTGTTTTCTTCTGTAGCGGTTCAGTTATTGTAGCTATATCCGTACAATACTCCTTAACTATATAGAGGCTATATGCTAAGCTTTGTCGGTTCTCCCCCTCCTTTCCCTTCGCTTCGCTTGCTGCGGAAGATAACAGTGATGGCTTCGCTCTGTTTCGCTCCCCGGCTCTCATGTGGTGGTGTGTGGATCATGGTTTAATGGATAGTTTAGTGTGACTTTGGTGACTGAGTCCCTGCCACACGTCCCTCGATCCTTCCTTCCAGTTGCTACCAATAATGCCCGACGGACAACTCTGCAACGACGAGTTCTATTCTCCTTACGCGCTGCTCTTCCATCCATCCATTCCATCCGTTTATCCGGTCCACTTCATCTGGTTGTTGTTTTTATGGTTGTCAACTACTTTTTATGTTCCACTAGATTAGGTTGCTATTTATATTTATCTTAGGTATGCCGTTATGTGTATGTAGTTTTTGTTTTGCTTGCGTTTCCTATATTGGTTTTCCGGCCGGGCTTTACCGCGGTCGCGAACCTTTGTAGTTCGGGTTCGGATGGCGACTGGGATGACGCGCTGTAAGAAATAAGATAGAAATTGTTAGCTTTCTTATTTAATAATTGTATAAAAAGAGTTTTTAAAACATATTCTGAAAAAAATTAATTAAAATAGAGATTGTTTTAATTCTATATTATTAAATCAAGTTATAAAATCAGAGCAAAGAATATTATTAAAATATTGGTAATGAGAAACGGGTCTACTTGAAAATCAGCGAATTTACTATATGACCTAACAATTTTAAATATAAAGGGTCAGTTTAAGATCTTTAAAGATATACTTTATATAACATTTATAGATTTCTTATTAAAAATGTTTATAGAAATATTACTAGAAATTATGCAGAAAAATAAATTAATTCAGAAAGACTTTCTTATAATACGATAACAGTAGATCAAGTTATAATATCAGATAAAATAGATATAAATCTAAGAATTTTCTTAATAACCTAACCTTTTCTATTATAAATGGCCAGTATCTTAAGAAATACTTCATTTAAAATTTATAGATTTCTTATTTACAATTTGTAAAAAAAATATTTCTAGAAATTATTAAGAAATATAAATCAATTAAGAAAGACCGTTATATAACACGATAACAATAGATCAAGTTATAATATCAGATAAATATGACAGAAATCTTAGAATTTTCTTAATAACCTAATAATTTATTTTATAAACAGTCAGTTTAAGATTCTTTTAAGATCCCCTGCTCACCTTGTATCATCATTGTGGGATACATGCCGGCCACCTGCGCCATTTGCGGCCGGATATCGTTCGACGGCGATCGTCGACTGTTGGGCAAGGCCACCGAGGGCTAAAAGATACAGAAAAATCCATTACAAATCTGAAGAATTTAACTCATCATTTATAAACTCACATGGGCAAAGTACGTCTGGCCGTACTTGAAGTACACGCCGGACGCCCCGTTTGGATTGTAGCCACCGAGGGCGGCAGCGGCCACGCCGCTGAGCACCGCCGCCGTGGCCTGTTGGCTGCCAGCAGCTGCGGCGGCGGCAGCGGCGGCACTGTGGTGCAGCTGGGCAGTGGGAATGTGCGAGCGGGCGCCACCGCCACCGCCGCCCGGCTGATGGCCGCCATTCGAGCCGGTTGCAGCAGCTCCAGCAGCAGCTCCGCCAGCTCCTCCACCGCCTCCGCCGTAAAGCGAGGGCGGCGAGGCATTCATGGCGGCTCCGGTGGTCTGATCGAGCACCACAAATCCTCCCGAGTGGCTGACCAACGTGGTCTGCTGTGGCTGCGGCTGCTGCTGAACCTGCGGCTGTACTGCTGCTGCCGCATTGGGCGTGTTGGCAGCACTGTTGCTCTGGCTGCCCACAATACTGTTGGGCGAATTGTTGCTGCTCTCGTGGCTGCCACTTCCGCCGCCATTGGCACTCGGCGAATTCCTTTGCGAGACGCTGCGTCGGTAGTCCTGGTTCATGGACTTCTGACTGCGGAAGCTGGCGGCTCCGGCATTCAGGCCGCGCACGGGCGGCTTGGCCTCGTAGCCGGTGACGCCGACGGGACTCGAGTTGCTCGCATAGCTGGGCGGCGGTCCACTGATCAGCGGCAGCTGGTTGGGCTTGTTGTCGCGCTTCACGCCCATCGTATGCGGTGGTGGCCCACGATGCTGGTAGCTACCAGTGGCTCCACCGGACGAAGAGGCGCCTCCCAAACTCACGCTGCTCGGCGAGGCACGCGGCGTGGGCTCATTGTTGGAGTTCAGCAGTGGAGTCTTGGCGCCCGAGGGGATTCCACTTAAGGGAACCGAGTGCCTGGGATTGTAGCCACCTGGGTGGTAAGGCTTGCGCACGCCCACAGAGGCACCACCTCCGTGGTTCCTTTTCTCGTAGGGAGAGGTGTATCCCTCGTTGCTGTTCTGGCTGTTCTGGTAGTAGTGCGGCGTGGAGCTGTTGCTGTGGTAGCCACCGCTGTTGGTGCCACCTCCTCCCGCACTGCTGCTGCCGCCGCTGCTCCCATTATTCGGAGCCGGCGGTGTGCTGAACAGCGGAGCCTGCCTTCCCGGAGCCGCCGGAGTACTGGGCGCCGACTGGGAGGCACCAGGATCCGGGTAAAACGGCGCCGCTGTGATGAGCGCATGATGCGGAGCACTCTGTGGCGGTGGTGGTGGCGCCTGTTGCACCACTTGCGGAGCCGTTGGAGGACCTCCTGCTGCCGCCGCCGCCGCCGCTGCATAGGGAAAGATATTCGTTGGGATCAGGGCGGCATGTTGGGCGGGCACAGCGTACACATGGGCACCGCCCGCACCACTGAGATCCGTGCCAGCCGCCGCTGCACCACCGTGGGCCAGCGTCAGCGTGGGCAGCGCATGATATGTGGTTGTGCTGGCCGCCGGGGCAGCAATAATCTGTGTAGAACCCGCCGACGGATGATTCACCGAACTGGGTGTGTAGCTGGGATTGTAGTGAATGGAGCCACCGCCCGGTGTGCGTTTCACCCGAGTGCTGTAGCCACTGGAGGTCGAGTGCTGCTGCTGCTGCTGATGGTGGTGCGGCTGCTGGTGCGACTGATGCTGCTGATGTTGCCCCGAAACGGAAACCACCGTCGGTGGACCCGCTGCCGTTCCACCTCCCGTGTGCGCCGCCTGCGGCTGCATGGTGGGCTGACCCACTGGCGGCTGAGAGGTCACCATGGGCGCCGCGGCCACCGCCTGCTGGGGCACATAGTACGAGATGGGATGGTAGTACGGGTAGGAGTATTGAATCGGATACGGGGCCATCGGCAGCTGTTGCAGCTGAGCTCCGCCGCCCGGTTCGCTGGAGTAGATGAGCGGCGCCTGGTAGATCGGTCCTCCATTGGGCGCTGCTGCCGTGGCGAACTGGGCCGTCGGATAGGCGGCCGCCGTTGCCATCGGCATCACTGTGGTGGTGGCACCCGGTCCGCCTGGCCCCGTCTGGTAGATGGCCTGCGCCGGGATGAGGCCCTCACGCGGCTGCTGGGCCGGATCGAAGACAGGTATCATGTAGGTGCCGCCGGGCAGCTCACCGCCAGTTTCCGGCGAGGCAAAGAGCGTCTGGGTGGGCGGATGACTGCTGGTGGTCAGCTGGAAGAGCGGCTGCGAGGCCCCGCCGGCGGTGCCCACGCCGGGCTGCGGATAGGCGGCATAGACCATGCCCTGCGGAACCGCATAGATGCTGCCGTCGGGCTGAAAAGGGTACGAGATAAAGGTTAGATAGTTTTTAAATCAGAGCACAGAAAATAACACACAGTGTAAAAAACTTGTGTTATTAATCTGTTAAATGTAAAGTTACAAAAAAAAGTTATTAACTTGTGTGTAAAAAATTGTATCCTACATATGTTAGAAACATAAATAACACACACATGTCATTTTTATTATTTACATGACGTGTTATTTACACTACGTGTTATTTACAAGAAATGTTTTTTTACACAGCGTGTTTTTAACACGATGAGTTTTTCACATAAAAAAATTTAAAAATGCACGGTTTTCCAGAGTATAAGAATTCATATACGCTTTAAAATGGTTTAAACTAACATATAAGATATCATGCCCCATATTGGTTTTTCATTTTCCCTTCGACTCGTTAATGTCTGTAAAATGTAATTTTAATTTGTGTTAAAAACACAGTGTGTAAAAAACACGTCGTGTTAAAAACATATTGAGTAAAAAACACAAGTCAGCTGTGTGTGCTAACAATTATTTTTCACATTTTAACACATTTGTATTTGACACACATGTAGAATACAATTTTTCATGTTTTTAACAAGTGTGTCAATTTCAGAACCCTGTTGTAAACACATAGCTACTCTCAACTCACCCCCTGCTGATATGTGGTGGCGCAGTAGGGCGCTGCCCCGTTGGGCGTGGTGGTGGTGTGAAAGACGGTCGAGCCGTCGGGCGCCTGGTAGCTCTGCGTGTACGTCCAGGTGGTGGTCTTGGGCTCCTCTACGGCGGCACTGGGTGCGTGGCTCTGGCTGGGAGTCTTCACCACCTCGCACTGGCTGTAGGGCGTGGAGCTGGGCGACACCGATTGCAGGTCACAGTTGACCTGCGTGGCCATCGGTGGCAGCGGTGTCTGGCTGGATGGTAGCTCAGTGATGCCCACCGAGGAGGTGGCCGAGCCGGAAGAGGAGGGTCCTGCCATGGGCTCTTGCTCCTGATCCTGCTGCTGCTGGACGACAGCCTCCAGTTCCAGCTTCTCGACGACGGCACAACAGGCGGGTATATTCGGACTGGTGGCCTGATTCTTGTACTTTTGCACCTCGATGCGATCGTAGTTTTTCGTCGAGGTGGAGGTGGTGATACTCAGGCAGGCGGTGGCACTGGTCAGGCTATCACAATCATCGCCCTTGATGCTCGATGCATCTCCGTTGCCCGGAAGTTGCTGCTGCTGAACGACGGGCAGCGATTGCGGCTCGTAGCTCTCGTATCCCTCGGAGCATTCCATTCCCGGCGACTGGGCCTCCTCCTCCGCGTAGCTCTCGGTGGAGCTGCAGGACAGCTCAGTGGTGGCATATTGCTGGGTCGCCTGCTGATGCTGCTGTGGCTGCTGCTGCAGCTGCGGCTGATGTTGCTGCTGCGACTGATGCTGCTGCTGCTGCGGCTGATGATGTTGCTGATGCGGCGACGACTTGCGGTAGTTGTTGTAGCCACCGGAGGAGGAGTTCCCCTGGTTCTGCGACTGGTACTGATTGCCCGTGTGCTGGAGCGCCTGGTTGGGCGGCAGATTGGACGGGTCGTAGTGGTAGATGGAACTGCAAAAATCGAATGAAATTATTAGCTTTATCTATTTATAACATAACATTTTTACTGATAGGATTGAGTGTGTTATTCGGGTATTTTTTCTCGCTCGGCAGCATGCAACGTTCGAATAGGAAAAATAAGTACAAAGAGTATTAAACTGCGATTAAAATATTGGAGCTTAACAAATGTAAATATTTAAAAATCTAAAATAATAAATATTTATTTATGAAAATAAATATAAGAGACCCCATATATTTTAATCACAGTTGTATAAAATATATTAAAGGAAAGTACAGTCGACACAAGCGACTGCTGACAGAGTTGCCACAGTTTTGCTGGTTTTTTTTTTGTTTTGTTTTTGTTTTGCAGTGTGTTAGCGACGCGACGGCAGCGACAGACATTTAGTATTATATAAAAGTAATTGGAAAAAACAACAACAACAAATGGCTTGACTGATTGGATTGATACAATGCGAAATGCTAATTGAACGAACAACAATTAAGATATGGCGACAACACTGACAGACGATAGACGATAACACACGATACATTCAACTCATTCATTCGATAGCTTAAAAAAACTTGAAATTTCGATCAACGCTGGAGAGGCAAGCTTGGTGTTTTTTGAGAATATGGAAAGTGGTGTGTTGGGTTTTAGATATAAAAAAAAATAACTCCCATGTGTTTGGTGTTTCTTGGTGTCGATGAGCGTGGGAGATTAAGGCACAGATCGAGAGATATAAAGAGAGTGAGAGGCGAATAGTTATATTCGATAGCAGTTGGTGTTGCGCTTGGTGTCGGTTAATTTAGTTCGAGTTTAGGCAGATAATTTACAAAAACAACATCAATAAGTCTTCACGATAAAATGAAAAGCTAATAATATTGCATATTTCACATATAATAACGTAGTAATATTTATGGTAAATAATATTGAGTAACATGGCTAAAGTTATATGAGGATATTTTAAATATGGTTAAATATTTGGTTAAGCTTCAAGCAAATAACTTTTGCGTACTGAACACAGATATTTATGAATATTTTGTAACATAAGATATATAAAATAAAATGTATCTTTATATATTTTTATCTAAAGAGAAATATTTGACTTGGCAAATTTGGTTGTAACCCTTCATAAAACTTCATAATATATATTACGTTAAAATATTTTGAGAAGTTACACAAATGCAAATTATATTTTGTACGGAATATGGAATAAGATATGCACTCTACAAGTTTGTCTTTAATGTTAAGTAGAGAACTTTGATAAGTATAAGGTTTAACAAAAGCTGAACTATATATTTAGAAATATATTAATGTATAAAACTGTGTCCTAAAGCCGCACTTGTCGCTATATTTTTTTAAAATTTTTTTCCAGTTAGAATATGTGTGAATCGAGGAATAAACTAAATAAACGGATATACGAAAAGCAATTGCAGTAAACAAATGCGATAATTTTGCAGCGATTTCTGTATTATTATATTTTTTAGTTGTTTGTGTGGTTTAATTTTTGCTTTGGTTTAGTTTTTGTAAATTACCCGTCTGCATTGACAATTGGTTGGAGGGTTTGCGGATCAATGAGGAGGCTGCCAATTGGCACATTCGAAATGTCTGTGACGGCCCAGACCAGTCCCGACGTTCCCGACGACGGAGAGCAATTGGACGAGGAGTTGGAGGATGGATCAGCCCCGGTGGCTTCGCTTCCCATATCCACCGGCGATGCGGCAATGGCTCCTGGTCCGCCACCGCCACCCGCCGATGACCCAATGATGGGTGGTGGTGCCATCCGGCTGTGGTGGGTGGCTGTGCTCACCATGGATGGTGGGGGGTGGTTCAACTCCGGCGTCTGCCTGTCGCTGCCGTAACCCGTCGGCGATGGCGTTACGGAGTCGGAGCGCACGGATTGGGTGCGCGTCTTGTAGCTGGACGGTGGGGAGGTCGAGTTGGTTTATATATATGTTGGTTGGTTGGTTCATTTGTTGTTGTTATGGTTGTTGTTGTTGTCGGGGGATTGCATACAAAAATGTTTTTGGTTTTTTTTTGGGTATTTTTTTTAAGGTTCTCAATTTAAAATTATTCATAATTTAAGAAATGGAGCGAGAGCGATTTTGAGTTTGGGTACATGGACATGGTTTTAAAGTAAACTTGTTTTTTTTTCTCTGACCGGTTTCACAAGGTTTAAAAATTAATTTATAATTTTTTGGGCTCAAAAAATATTTTTAAATTTATGTGTTCAAAGATTTTTTATGAACTAATATTTTTCTAATTTTGGAAAATATTTTAGAAATTATTTTATAATTTTTACAGCACTTTAAGTTAATTTTGAGGTTTAAATAGATAATGATAATACAAAACATAGATAATGACAATACAAAACATAGGTAAGTCTTTAAAATTAAATCAAGAAATAACAAAAAAAAAAACAAAAAAAATTAACTAAAATAAATATTCCTATCCAAGTGAAACCGGTTACTTTAAATTATCTTAAACAAATAGGCTTTGCGGCTAGGCTACTCACCCACTGCTGGAAGGAGACAGTCGCCATGGAGTGCTGCCAGTCGAGTCCTGCTTCACGAAGCCACCGCGTCCGCTTTTGATCGAGTTGGTTGAGTCGCCGCGTGGCAAGGAATTGTTGCCAGGACCTCCCGAACTGGGCGGTCCGCCGTAGTTGCCAAAGTTGTGCGACTTGGGCACGGCTCCACCGGATCGCATGCCATCGCGTGATTCCGTGGACTATATATATTAATTATATTAAATATTTGTGAGAGAAAAATTTCGTATATAGATCGTACATTCTGCATCTGCAGCATCTTTCCATTGGGCCTCTTGGGTCGAGGGGGCTGCGATTGCTTCTGCTGCTGTTGCTGCTGCTGCTCCCAGCCGCCGTAGCACTCCTCATCGCCACCGCCGCCGGAATATCCCTCGTGATTGCCTCCAGTTCGACTGAAGATGCGGCTGCGCGCCCGATCGTAGTCCTCCTCACGCTCCTCGAAGCTCTTGGCCTTGCGATCCAGCGAGAGGGGGCACAAGTATGGCGATTGACGCACCTCGTCGAAGCTGTGCGTGTCCCGCTTCAGAATTGACTTGCGTGCATCGTCGCGCACCAGCGACTGGAAGCGGATCTGAAAGCGTATTGATTAAGTAATTAGTAAATATTAAATAGGGGGTTTAAGTTCGATTAAGTTTACCTCTGGTATACGCGTGTTCTTGGCAACGGCAACAATCACACACTGTTGCGTTTCGGTGTCCACATTGTGCTCCATGCCAAAGAAGGCGGCCGTGCGATGGATCAGCATACGATTGTACGAGGAAGCTGGCGGAAAACGATACTCACAACCGCGACTGTGGGGGAAAAAGGGGAGAAATCAATTAGATTTTAATAACATTTTTCAATTATTTCGAACTTTTTCATATCAAATTATTATTTAAATAATTTAAAAGGCGCTTTGTGTTATTTATTTGAAATTCCTTAGTAAGAAATTTAAACAAAAATGTAATTTTAAGAATTTAAAGGCTCCAAATAATTATGTATTATTTCCATTTTAATTGCCTAATAAGAAATTTAAATATAATTTTAATAATTTAAGAGCTCCAAAAATTAAATTTAAATTCTTTATTGTAAGAAATATAAATAAACTTTAAATTTAAATTTTATAATAAAATTTTTAAATATCATTTTAAAAAATGTAATGTTCACATAATTATGTATAATGTAAAATTTAAATTCCCTAATAAGAAATATAAATAAAAATATGGTTTAAATAATTTCAAGGCTCTAAATATTTGATGTAGAATTTAATTTTAAATTTCCTAATAAAAAATTGAAACTAAATATCCCTGATTTTACCTATTTTCCTGGATGAACTCTATCAGATCCTTCTCGATCTTCAAGAGGATATTGCGATCCTTGGGATTCTTGTTGAGCGTGTCCCGGAAGAAGACCAGCAGATCGGTGCCGCCGTAGTCCGTGTACTGCTCGCTCGAGTTCTCTGATTGATGAAAGACTAGAATCAGTGAGTGATGAGCCGGGGTATTCGGCCAATGGACGAAGAGCCGCAACTTACCGCGCGAAATGAAGCCCGAGGTGTTGTTGCTCGAGTTGTTGGACAGGCCGTTGTTGGACATGTTGTTGTTGTTGCCATTTCCACCGTTTCCCCCTCCTCTATCTCCACCGCCGCCGCCTCCTAAATCAATGCTTCCTGATGAGCTGCCACCGAGATTCTTCAACCGTGGTTTGTTACCTTTGGCATTGGTGTTGGCGCGATGCTTCTTGCCTCCGCCTCCTCCTCCGCCTCTGGGCTCGTAGTGATACTGCTCCTCGTCGTGGTTGTTGCTCAGGTTGCTGTTCTGGCTGGACATCTCGTGACGATCGTGGCGTTCATGGCGCTCCGCCGCCTTGTAGTTCATTCCCGAGTTGTAGATCACACCCGCGGATGAGCTGTTGTTATTGTGTGGTTTGCTGTCCAATCCGTTGGACTTAAGATCCACCATGAACTTCTTGCCGCTGTTATTGTTATACTCCATGCCGCTGCCATTGCTGTTGGTGCGATTGTGTTGGCCACCGCCGGACTTCTTTGGTGGCGAAAGCTTTGGGAACTCCGCCTCGTTGCTCAATGGCACATTTTGCTGCGGCTTTGGGGGCACATTCTGCTGTTGCTGCTGCGGTTGCTGACTAGTGACAATCACGGCTGGCGTCTCCATCAACGGCGAGTTGCCCCTTCCAGTTGATTGTGCTTTGCTATTGATATTGTTATTATTGTTGTTGTTGTTGTGCTCGTGGGATTCCCCCTGGAGCTGCTGCTGCTGCTGTTGCTGCTCGGAGGCAGCCCGCGGCGTTGGCGTGCGAGGTGGCGAAGTGGACTCACGCATCGCATGGCTGCGCGTCAGATGTTTGCCCTTCATGTTACCCTGTAAGAGAAAAAAAAGAAAAAGCAAAGTAAGTCGAGGGGTGAAGTAATTAGTTTCGAATTAGTAGCAAACGAATGTCAAAGTTTACCAGGGGTGAGACCGTCCACAGGCGAACTTCGATGTCGGAACTAATAAACCAAAGGCTTTTAAAGGATAAAGGTTATTTACAAGCTTAGGTGGCTTTTTTTTCGATTTTTCTACCTAATAAAATTGTAGTTCTGACGTTTGGCAAGTTTACTTTGATTTTCCCTTCTCTCAAATCTAAAATGGCATTTAAATTTGCTTTTCTAGAGGTTTCACTTTACCAACAAAAGGCAGTTATTCAATTGTTGGCTCATTGAAATGTGAAAAACAATCGGCCCACTCACACAGGAAAAATCGAAAAGGTTACCGGGGAGTAAACTCCGCCTGGTGGTTGCCGTGCTAGGCTTATAATATATACGATGATATATAGTATATGCACCTCAAACTCTGCCCAGGATTGCCTTTTGACATTTTTCGCGCGCCGAGGGACAGCAGAGAAATCGGAGGATAAACGCAGTCAGGCGTTCGTTCAGTTCTGTCGGTCAATCGTTCAAGTTTAGTCATCAGGCACATTAATTTCGTGCCTTTCCTATTTGTTTGCCTTCGCCCCCATTGATTTTGTGCTATACGAAAAGCCAACAGAAACTGACATCATTAATCAGCTGTTGAAGTCACTTGACGTGGCCATTGGCCAGCAGGCTAAATTAACACTTGAAGCTTCAATAAGTAAGGATTAAGATTTTCGGAATAGGGGATGGCTATTAATTTGTAAAGGGATTCGATTCCCTAGCCTAATATCTTTACTGTAATTTATTTGGAAAATCTAGTACACAATAAAATATTTATTAAGTGTGTTTAATATAAACTGATTTTAATAACAAGCTTATATGATTTTTTCCCTGAAGTAAAGTACTCTAAAACCTAAATCGTAATGGTAAATATTTTATATCTTTCTAACCTTAAATGTAAGATATCCTCTATATTAATGTCTTCATTTTATTTTATTTGAATCAAGTAAAATTGATTAATTAAAAGCCTTTTAGATTTTTTCTATGAAGTAAAGTACTTGCAATTTGAAATCTTTTTTAACCTTAAATGTAGGCAATCAATTTCTAAGTAATTTCCAGATTTTCCGCTCAACAGGAAAAAAGGAAAAAACTTTATTGCCCAGCTTATTTATTGCAATTGGCAGATTTTGTGAAAACAAAAAAGTAAATTGCTGCCCAACCTCAGCCGTGGCTAATTTTCCAATTCTTCGAACTGGCTTTCAAAGTGATTTCCAGGAATCTGGTACGCCCATTTAACTTTCATTGTGGGAAAAATCAATAAATCGACCTTGGAGCTACGCAGCAGCACCAAAAAGCCCAACCAGAGCTCCGAAAATTTCAAGGGAGCGGGGGTGGAAAAACAAAGGACCAGGTTTGAAACCACTCTATCGCCCAGGACATAAACAATGATTGACGATAAATCCTGCATGAGCAGTTAACCAAGGCAACCGACCAACCGACCGACCAAACCACCCACCAACTCACACATAAACCTTGAACTCTGTTGGCAAAAAGCGTTTAGAACTGTCTGCGATTGTGGGATTGTGGGGCAGTAACGAGGAACTGCAGCAGGAGCAATCAGAAACACGTTTACCAATTGCAACACTTTGGCCATTCGGGGTCGATTGGGGAATTTCCAGCAAATGCGATTCGCAGAGCCGTAATCCCCACCCCCTATGTACCCTCTATATACCCTTTACCTCCCCCCTTTGGACTGCCAGTGACCTGACCCAGTTTACTAGACGTTTTTTGGGCGTGTATCCTTTGCTTTCGAGAGTTCAGTTCATGGCTGCACTTATGTGTGTGCATCCTGCGAGCGAAAGAGAGATAAGAGAGAGAGAGCTACGAGCATCGAGAGCAGGGCCGAAAGATGATGATGATGAGAAGTGGAGAGAAGAGAACCCAACTGCAACGCGACACCTGACAGGACCTGACCTATATAGAGACCACACTCTATAATCTCTGCATTTGCCGTTTTGAACCATTTTATATTAACCTGCTTTACATGAAGTACATACTTGGTTCTTGAAATGGGTTCCTATGTAATACAATATGATACCCCACCCTTAAAAACTTGGAAGGGGTCTAACAAAATATTTAACCTTATAATATTATAACATCATAAATTATGGCAGGTGAGTAAGTAGTTTATAATGAGCCTGATTGCTAAAAAGTTTATTTAAATGTAAATGTTAATGAAAACTGGACCTAATAAAAGTATAGATTTTCTATTATTAAAAAGTTTTCTAATCATTAGTTTCCTATATATTAAAATAATTAAAATACTTTAAAAATGATTTACTAACATCTAAAAAAAACTTTCTTTTTAGAACTGCGAAATATTTTTATTAAAGCATACATCTAGAAAAAGCATGTTTTAAAAATATATCCTCTAAATAATATTCAAAATTATTCAAAGAACTTCACAACCTCATCCTTATTTTAATAATCATATGGATTAAGAATCTATATTTATTTTGGGTTTTCCACTATACTTACTCGTCTATTGCCGAAGCTGTTCTGACGTCCCAAGTTGGAGGATCCGGCCGCCGTCTGGCACTCCTCGCCGCAGTTGTTGTTGAGGTTGCTGCTGCTGCAGTTGCTCGAGATTGTGGCCACGGAAGTGGAGGATGTTGCCGCTGCGGATGATAATGCTGCTGCTGCTGTGACTGTGGATCCTGTTGCTCCAGTGGCAGTGGCTGCTCCAGCGGCTACTGATCCGGTTACTCCTGCTATTCCCGATCCCGATCCTGAACCCAATCCGGATGAGTTAGTGTTTGAGGCAACAACGGCGGCGTTGGCACTGGCAACAACAACAACGGCGGCCGCAGCGGCCGCTGTTGAGGCAGAAGCGGCAGAGGATAAATTGGTTGGAATATTCGTAGCTAGGGCTACTTGAGATTTTGTGGAACTCATAATCACAGTTTATGTCAAGTGTACTGAAACGGAAACGGGAAATCGCAAAAATAAGTTAGTAAAGCAATCAAAACTTTAATTTATTTATTTGATGGTATCACCGGGCACTTGGTATAAAAGTAATACAAACAAATAGGAATCCTTGGGGAAATTAAAAGTTCATATACTAAAGAATAAATTGGAATAGTTACTTCTAACTCTGGACAAAAAAGTTTTAGAAATAAATATGGCAAATGTCATCTTTTGAATGGTTAAATAAAATATTACAATTTCCTAAACCCATAATGATTACCTCAATATGTGAGTTAGACTATTGCATTTTGTTTATACGGTTTTATGTAGCTCCAAAAATTTGTGAACAAATTTTCGTTTATGGTTAGTTTTGTCTTTTATTTTCTTTTTGTCTCTGCGGCTCATAAGAATTTTTGCTTAGTTTTCTTTTTAGTAATATTTGTACGAATATTTTATATTTTTCTTATTATTCTTTCAGAAAAAAAATCATATTTGTCGAAAAGTTTGCGGCAGTGCAGTTGAGAGAATATTTTTTATAAAAAAGGTTGAACCAAAAATCTCTGACGCTGTTGTTGTTTTCACTCGATTTGCTTTGGTTTTGTGCGAGACTTAGATTAGTTTACTTTTAGTTTAGTTTGTTTATAAGATGCAAGGCTTAGTATTTGTAGATAAATAGTTATTGTATTGGATTTTCGTGGCAAAAAACTTTGCGAAGGAAGGAAAAATAAAACACTATTTAAAGGTGTTTATTTTGTTTTTCTTTGTTATTGTGGTAATTGAGTTTTAAAACGTTTGGTTGTTTGTTTGTTGTTGTTGTTTGTTTGTTTTTAGAACGTTGTTTATCACATTTACACCATATCACCGAAAATCAGAAGATGCCCTCTCGTTTTTTTGGTCTGTACACTTGCTTGATTTTCCCAGTTATTTTGTTTAAAAATTAATTCATTTATGCACTAAACACTTAAGTGGCTATTTCTATAATTAATTTATATATATATGTATGTATATTGTATAGTTAAAAATATTTTAGTTAAAGCTTTCTTTCTTTCTGGTTGTTTGTTTTGTGATTATTTCTCTCGCTGACTTTTCCTTTTCCTCGATTTTTGTGTAGTTATTTTATTTGTTCATTTGTTGTTTATTTTTATTGAGTTATCTCCTTCTGGTTGTTGTCTATATAGTTCAGGTTCTTTGAGGATTTCTTTGATTTCCTGTTGTTTCCTGTGGCACACATTTTACTATCTGCAAAGTTGGATGAAGTTTTAGTCGACGGACACGGGCTTTTCTTTCTTTCCCAACCGAGAGAAAAACGCGCAGGCGAGAGAGAAGACAGAGTGAGACAGAGAAATCGAGAAATGAAATCGAGAGAATCCCTCCGCAAAACTGTGTATCCGTGTATCACACACTCGTAGACAATATGACCTTGTTTACGATTTATTTTGATATTCAAAACTGCACGAACCAAAAGCCGAGAAAATTTCATGATGCGAATATTGCCCTCGGCACGATTAGAAGGGTGGATATATTATTCGCCTGCTCTCTTTTTTATCTTCAGGGCTCCTTAGCTCCTGGCGAATATCCTTATAAGGACACTAACCACACGCACACACCAAAAGCACCCAACTGGTTCCCTTTCTAGCGTAATTATCTCGAGTTTTTGATTGCCACAATTTATGGGAGTAGGTAGCTAATTTCGTTTTAAAAAGGGTTCTGTTGAATGCCCAAAAAATTTTTCAAAATTTTGATGTTTATCTGTCCGAGTTGAATGGACTTTGCATAAATAACTGAAGCAAGTCGGTGTTTGCAGCGGCAAGTAAAGGAATCTTGGGAAAGGGAGCGCAGCTTTTTGGTTTATATAATTAAAATCTGCGGTGTGCTGTAAGGGCAACGGAAAATTCCCATGGAATATTCTATTGGGCATACACATCATTCATTTTCTATTGAAAGAAGCAAAGAGTTTGTCATCTTCGCTAAAAGTAAATTTTAAACTCTTAATTTAATACATGTTCAAGATTTAAATCAGATTTTAAGTATATCATCAGGATTTGATTTATAAATGTGAAACAATTTTTAAAAGTTTGTATTAGGATTTAAGACTCCTGTTGTGTATAAGAGTGAGATTATAATGATTGAAATATTTATTAAATTTGTCAAAAAAAAAAAACAATAAAGTATTATTTTATAAAATTTAAGTTTAATATTTAAATCATTTTCCTTGTTAAATAAATAACCTGCTGATTAAATAAATAACTACAAATGGTATACAAAGTAACAAGAGCATGATGACATTTTCAAACACTTTTCATTTATTTTACCAACAAGGTATTGGGTTTACCAATTATGATAACTTATGATTTTCCTTTCATTTTTCCCTTACGAATACGAATACCCAAAAGAAAAGACCCAAATGCAAATATAAACAAAGCAGACGAGGGAATAGATGAATGAAGGTTTTTGAAAAGGCCCTCCTCCCCCAATTTTTTTTGTTTGAGCCAAAAACACCTGGCCAAATGCGAAATGCCATGACAGTCGCAGTGAATCTTTTATTCTGGGAAATACCCGCGAAAAATGCGAAAGGCGAGTGGAAGGGACAAACGAGAAGAGAAACGGGGCGAGATTTGGAGAATCGCTTGAGAGAGAAAAGCGGAAAAGTGGGCAGGTGACAGATGACGTAGCCGCCTTAAAAAGAAACACGCATACGACGTGTGGCACACGACCCAAACGAAGGTGACGACGTCGTCTTCGTCTTTTTCCACCGCTTTTCATTCCCCTCGTAATAACCGCTTTTGGTGAAAATACGGCAAAGGCAAAAGCGAAGGAAATTTGGGACAAGAGTCGGAAAATTGCATTCGGGAGAGGAATCGGGAAATCGGAATCAGAATCCCCAAGTGGGTGGTTAGGGGATGGGGGGATGGAGAATTATGGGTTGCATGTGGCACGGTATTACGACTTGGCCTTCCTGCTGTTTAGCTGTTTACAGCTGCTCACTCACTCATCACTCACACCCTCTCCTTCTCTTTCCTCGCCTATCGACCTCTCCTCCTTTAGACGGCCAACCGCTCAAAGCGACAAACAAAAAAGCTTCCCCATAGTGCCGAGTACTAGGAAATGTGTTGCGGTTGTCTAGTCTGCGGAGAATCAGCTCCAAAGCGCCTGCGTGGGAGAATCCGAAAAAAAGGAGAGAAAACGAGCCTTATGAATAGTACACTCACCAAAAAGAAATAAAAGAAGCTTCCAAAAATTACCCTAATACAATTGTTATAGTTAAAAACTAAAATATAGATTTATTCAAAATTTAAAGGATTTTTACTCAATATTGAAGATTTGAAGGCTTTGAAAAACTTTATTTAAGAACAAAAAAAATTGTTCGTCTCACCTAATTAATAAAGAGGTTCAAACCCCTTTTTCTTGCAAACTATATATTTTGTTGAAATTAAAACTACAAAATACTTTAAAAATAATTTTTAAGAGTTATGTTTTAAAATAATGGACTAGATGAAAGTTATTGGTCAATACAAAATGAATAAGAGACTTTCTTTTTTTATACTTAGAAAATTATAAATGTTATCAATTTAAATCAAAAGAAAATCGAAACCAGCATTTCATTACAATGTAATTTATTTTTTATTGTTGTTTTAAAAATGCTCAAGTGTTCAATTTTTGTAATTAAAGGTGCAACTTTTTTGGAAGACCTAAAATTTTTTTAAGTGTACTCATAGAGAGAGCATGGCGTGCCTGCACTTTAGAAGCTCCGAGCAGGAAGTTGGCTGCAATGCACTCGCAAAAGACGGCGGAAGGGAAATGGAAAATGAGCCAGCGAAAAAACCCCAACAGTGGCAAGAAGAAGCACCAAATGGGGCGTGCATTTCCACCTAGAGCCCAGATAATGATTATAATTTGTTGACAAGTCGATGATACATTTCAAACATGCATTTTTCCAAACCCTCACATGGAAAAACTCTTACTATTTTGTACGTGAAAACGTCACCGAATTACGAGAAGGAAAAATATAACAAAAAGCTGAAAAAGAAAAGTACGAAATGAAAAACGACGAACCCGAGGAAAAGACCCGAACTCTCGTGAATTTTTGTTTGTGTGTGTGTGTGGGGGAAAACGTGTGCGACTGTGTATGTATAATACACCAAAAAGGCCACAAGAAAAAAAAAGATTGTCTTTAAACCAAATGAAAATTCCTCGCGACTCGAAAACATTTTCGATCTTTTATTTTTTGTTTCGCACACATTTTTCTTTGCACTTTTTTGTATATATATTTTTAAACACTCTGCCCGGCAAAAAAAGGGGCTTCTTTTCTAGATTTACCACTCGATGTCTGCAGTTTCACTCGCACAATTTTTTCTGGTGGATTCTCTAAAACCGATTTTTTGTATTTTTTCTACGCGCGTGCCATTTGTATATTTATTTTTTGTACTTTTGTATTTTCCACTGGCAATTCTAGTACCGAAAACCAAAGAGGAACCAAACCCCCAACCCAAAAAACCCCATCGACCAATTGTTCTCTCTCTCTCCCTCTCTCTACCTCTCTCTCTCACTCTTTTTGTTATTTTTGTATTTTTTTCTTCTTGAAAAACTAATTTTTCTCGGGCACTAATTTTTCTTGCCTCCGCTCGTTTGCTTCATTGTGAAAAATGTATTTTTAAGCTGCTGCTTTTGCTGCTGCTGCTCCGCTTCTTCTATAGATGTTGCTGCTGTGAATGTTGCTGCTAGTTGCTTAGTGTTGCTGCTGCTGCTGCTGATTTTGCTGGTACGGATGACAATGACAACTTTGGCAACGGCTGCGACAGAAGCGACGACCGCTGGCGGACATTATGGGAACACGGCCGAATGGATACTGGGCCAATTCGCTGGCGAAAGGTCTCTTTTTCTCTGAAATTTCCCTCTCTAGAATCGAATCTCTCGGCTACAAAAATCTCCTTCGTTTTCGTGCTTTTCCCCAGAAAGGGTGGCAAATAATCAACCGAATCTCTCTCTCTCTCTCGGCCAAAAAAGAAAGAGAGCCCTGCGAGTGCGTAAAAGCTTCGCGGAAAACAGGTTAAAGCGTATAGGTCTCTCCCCCGTCTCTTTCACTCGCTCTAGCCCCCTCTCTTTCACTTGATATATATCCTCCCTACTATATAGTTCGCCCGATGCCCGATGTCCCATGGCCCAGAGGCAAAATGCTTATTGGGGTGGCATTTGCTCGAGTCTCTCCACTCGGCGGCACTCACTCAAAGAAATTGCGTTTTCAATGAGTTGTCTGCGAAAATTATGGGGGATAGTTAGTAATCCTCATCAAGTTGATTCAACTACATATCAAAATAATTGTTTAAGCTATAAAAACCATTTTAATATAATAATTCCAATTAAATGTTTCTCAGATTCAAGAAAAAAAGTTGTTTTTTTAAAAGAAAATAAAATTATCCTTTCTCTAAAAATAAAATATGTTATTAGCATGTCAACCTACAAAATTTGCTATTGTTCAATTTAAAAAAAAAAATGGTTTTTTAAGCCTACTTCAGCAAGTAATTTTAAAACATTTTTATAAATATTTAAGAACAATTTGTAAATAAATTATCCAACCTAAAAACTATTTTATTATATAATTTATAGAAACTAACCATTAAAAAAATGTCATGGTCAGAAAACTTTTTTTTTTCCAAATTGAATATTCATAAATATTTCTCTCAGTGTCCTCATCTACTCCTTCTTGTTGCTGTTGCTCCTGGTAGCTATTGTTGTTGCTTTTATTGTCCTTCCTGCTGAGCTTGTGTGCGTGTGCTGCGTACGGAATGCAGTTGTTGTAGTTCTTCTGGTAACTGGGCATCTCATCCTTTATGTTTTTTCTGGGTTTTTTTGCCTATATATCCCTATATCCCTGCTTGGTTCTGTGGCTTCACTTCCTAGCAGGCCACAAAAGGACCTTGGACATGTGAGCATAAGTGCGTGAGGGGCCAGGAAAGAGAGAGAGAAAGAGTCCTGGCGAAAAACAGAGAGTGGGAGAGAGAGAAGCGAACCAAACAGGAATGTTTATGGCACACAAAACAATAAAAAGCAAAAAACTTCATAAAAGTCGATGATGTTTTTCATGCTCTACCTGGGAATCGAATTCAATTTTAATTGAATGTAAATACCTAAAGTGATTTTCCATCAAAGCAATCTAAATCTGGGTTTCAAACACTTTTAATCAAATTGTTCATGTGAAAGCCAGCAGATAAACGAATGGAAATAGTTTTAATAGACAGGAATTCTGTCAGGAAAGGAAATTTCGACTAGGGGATATTCTTTTAAAATAGCTTAATACAATCCTTAGTAAGTTTGTTCTAGGTATTCTCTAAAAATATTCAACTTAAAAAAACCACTTGCATATTTCTACCCACAATTATTAAATATTATCTACCACTTAAAACTTTATCCCATAAATCATCTCAAATACCCTTCCATCCAAACATAAAACTTTTTCCAATTCAATTACCCTCGCAAATCACTGGCAAATTGACCAAAAAAGTGTCCATCAATGGAAGCTTTCTCCGTCTCTTTTTATTGGCTTTCCCCATCTCTTTTTCGCCTGCATATCTGTCAATTTATAGACTGAAATTGCATTTGATTCCTGACGGGATACGCCAGTTATTTTATTTGCCTCCGACTCTTTTCTCTTCTTTCCCCGATGATGAATGCATTCATCATTTGAGTGGGCAATAAAAAAGCTTTTAGGATCTCGTTGCTTAAGGGGGAAAAATGGAGTATAAAAAGTGTAGGGTAGAAAAGAAGCGATAAGGAGGCTAAAGGACAGTTTTTGCATTGTTGCTGCCAATAATCTTAAACCAGGGGTAATCACCATTTCTTCTCTCTCAACTTGGCTTCATTTGCCATCTGGCGCAGAATATTTCAGGGAGTTAAATTACATAGTTTTTTCCTTTAATATTTCTCTTAAAACAAATAATAATTTTGATGGCACTTTAAAATAATTCTTTTAGGATATTACTAAAACTTGTAAAAAAACATAAATATCCACTTTTTTTCCTTTTTAAATTAAGTTACATTTTAATCTTATTAAAAAAAATATTTTTCAATTATTGTACGTGTAAAAATTATTATATTAAACCTTAGAATCAAATCCTGCAATAATTACTTGCAAAAATGAACTATAAATGCCTACTAACAAATAAATATATTAAAATAAACGTAATTCCTATATTTTCTATAGTTTAGGAAAATCCTTTCATGTGCATTGCGGCGTGCATCCCGCAATTTGGGATGAAAGTCAGGTGAAGCGTGTCCTAGATTCCACTACAAACACCAACAAGCCCATACAAACACACACATAGAGATTCCACCCCGAAGTATGCAACATAATTTGAGTGCAAACAACGCAATAAGCTCGGCTCGACTTTTTGTCTAGCTTCCAAGGGACCTTGAATTCAATCAAAGTTGCGTCAGTAATGCATCTCTTTCCCGCTGCTTATTATTCCCAATCACACCCTCTCCCTCGTGCAAATTGCAAAATAATTTGCATCGATTAGCCAAATGAGTTCCGGGCATTCCTGGCTCCCTCATGTCTCTCTCTCCCTCTTTTTTTTTCTTGTTTGCTCTCAAAGGACTTTTTGTCGCCTTTTCAGCATCTGGGGGATGTCAAAATGCGTTTCCCCAAATGCGTCGTAATAAGTAATTTATGCAAAATGCTGGTAATGCTGGGAATACTAGGAATGGTACAGGGAATGATGGCAAAGAAACAGAAAGCGAGAGAGAAAGAGAGGAAGGGAAAAGGACGAGACTGTTGCTCCTTTCTCTCTCTTCTCCCTTCGTTTAATGTAATTGCATATTCGTGAATGTCGCGCCTTTCGCCTGCAATTACGACATCTTATTTGGGTCAACACGGAGAGATAGCTCTCTGGAGAAAGAGAGGGGGCTAGCGAGAAAGATAGAGAGGGGTATACTACGTAGAGATGGAAAAAGAGAGGTTTATACCCCTCGGAAAGACAGGGGCCGAGAGCTTAAGCTCCGCCGCACGTGTGAGCTTAAAAGCGCATCGCATTTCGAGGCCAAGTGCCGAGTACGAGGATACGAGAATACGAGGATGCGAGGATTCGAGGACTCGAGGATACTACCAGCATCCGTCTGTCACTTCCGCAGGCAACTGCAGTATCCAAAAAGGGGGGTTTCTGGGTTGAGTTTTGCCTGGCTTTCCGGCGGGGAGGAGGTCAGCGAGGGGGCGGTGGTGTCCAGTGGGTGTGGCCTGCGTTGGCCCAGTTTAGTTGGCCCACAGGGCAGAGATGTGCAGATGCAACTGCACTGATTTCCTGCTGGAAATTCAATTTAAATGCCGTTATACCTGCATTCCACCGGTAACTAATTACAAAAATATCACCCAAAAATAATAGGAAATTAAAGTATTTGTCTTTGCAGTTTACGTTTTTCCTTCATTATAAAAATCTTTGGGTTGCAAAACGACGCTTTAAACAAATTATTTTTTCTCATTTTTAAAAGTGTTGTTGGATAAATAGACAATTTTTTAATATTGGTAATTTTTGTTTTTTCAGTTCACAGTTTTTCTGTTAATTATAAAATCTTGGGGATACAAAACCATTTTTTTAATTACCTATAGTCCGAAATTCCAAAAAAAGAAAACCAGCACCAAAAAAAATGTTTTTAAGAAAAGTCTAAACAATTAAAAATTATTAAAATTTTCCAAGAACCAAATATGTTATAAGGAAATATTAAAAAAAAAAACAATTGATTCAAATATTATTTACAATTTCAAATTGAATCACATTGCATATTGAAAGCTCAAAGTAAACTCAATTTAAGCGTTTTAAACGCAACCAAGAGGATTCAATAATGGCACTTGGATTACTCTTCAGTTAGCCAGAGATTTGCGCACTACACAAGATGGAAAAAGGGAAAAAGGAAGAGGAATAGCAGAGTGAGATGGCCATTAAAGCCTTTTGTGAGGATCCTGCTGGGGGATATTAAGCAAGCAAATCTAATCTAATTAGCCGGCAAATGCCAAAGCAGAGTCAACTCTTACCCATCCACTTTGCCGACAGACACCCCCTTAACCCCCTAGTGCCCCCCTGTAGTCACCTGTTTAACACCTCGACGACTGACTGTACGCCCCCGCTTCGTTTTATGGCGCAATTAAAATGCTAAATGCTTTACGACATCGCCCAGGGGGGCTCCTTTAATTAATTTGCCTGTGACAATGACTGGGCCATGCCATGTCTCGTGTCCCGAAGACCATGAAAGGTGTTAACAACAAACGCCTGGCCAAGAAAGGAGGCAAGGACACCTCCATCGCCTCCTTTCACTTGACCCAGACAAAAAAAAACAGCAGGAAAGACAGACAGGCAGACACATGGAAGAGGCACCCCCGAGAAATCTTCATTTAGGAGCTCTTCCAACCTAAAACCTCCTCGCCGGAAAACCCTGATTATGACAGATTTGATGGATATAGTAACTGGCCCTGAGGGACCGATTTTTGTACCCTATTTATAATGGTTTGAGAGGTACAATATTTATACAAAAATGCTTTGTAAGGAAGCAACAGAAAGTCCCTCTAATTGTTCTAAAAAAAATATACCTACATTAAAATGTATTCATAATAAATTATTATTCAAATTTATAAGACAAATTCAATAAGAATTTTAGTATGAATAAAATATTTATAAAATATTAATAAATATATATATATTTTCAGATTGCATGCCTGATATTACAAAAACATTTTAGAACTCTATTATTTTGTTATAAATAAATGTTCGTAAATTAAAAAAACAAATGCTAAAATACTAAAAAACCTTTAAACAATTACTTACACGCTTGTTTAGTATCTCTTAAGAACCAATTAAATTAAAGCATTTTAAATTAGTCAGTACAAATATTTAATAATCTAATATCTTTCAGAGGAAAATCTCGAAATCATGGAAACTTTTGCCAGCATTTCTCTGCTTTCATTTTAGCTGACACACGGCTAAAACTTTTAAGGCCACGTTAAGCAACCTTTTGAGTTTTGCGACGACGACACACAGTGCAGAAAAAGCCGAGCTAAGCACAACGTGACGTAGAGGCCAAGAGTCCAGACTAGCAGATGTCCTGTAAACGGACGAGCTGACGACTATACCATCAGCAAAATATTAATAGCAAGAGGAAAGCTAAAGACCTCAAGACTCTGCTGCTCAATCATTCATTTGGCATATGAAACATGCCCCGTTGCATACAAAAAGGGGCACCTGGGAGCCGACATTTGGGGCCATTTGATTGTTGTCTTCGGGCTGAGAACCCCGTGTAGCTGAGCTCGGTCCACGTAGACCCAGCCGGAGCCACCTGCGGGAATTATGAAATATGCAAAAAGCATCTGCACGGGCCTAGAGGCAACACCCCAGCTAACCCAGCCAACCCATTCAACCACCTCCTTCGCTCTTTGCGGGAATAGAATTCGCTTGGCATCGCAACTTTGTCTGCAGCATTTGAAGAGGAAATAAAGGGGCAGGTGGGCGGAAAAGGTGGGGCTCTTTGAGCCAAATCAAAATCAAAAACAAAACTGGCGTAACCGATGTGATGTGTCTGCTCTTATCACAGGCGATTATTCATAGGAAGCAGCAAAAAGAAATACAGAAGAGCGTCTTTAAAAAGTACTAACTTAAATAAAGAAAAAGTTAAGTTTAATAAATATTTTACTTAATATTAAATAATATAAAAACATATTTTTAAATATGGTTTGAATAATGGAGGAATTTATAATCAGTATTAATAAATAGTATTAATAAATAAAAAAAATAACTTAAAATAGAGTTAGATTATTTAAAAAAAAACATTTTAATTTATTTCTGACGCAAAAGAATATTTTATTTCAACGTTTTAAAAATTACTTATAATTTTTGATTAGTGGATTTTTGTATAAATAAATATAAAAATACTCTTAACATAATGGTCACAAACTACTCTATATTTTATTTTAGATTTAATAAAAATCCCACAAATTAAAGTTCGCCTGTCAAAAAAGACGAAATGCCAAATCAAAAGATGTGCGCGGCTGCCAGAATGTGTTTGAAAATTTAAATAAAATGGCATCCCGATAGCAAGTGGCATGAGCAGAGGCAATAAATTAATTTACACAAATTCCCAAGATTCTCGCATGAAAAATGCTTTGGTTTCGGCGACTTTCTGCAGTAAGATTTGCCTTCCAATCTTTTTTGTTTGTGTAATGACTGCGAAACGGACGGGCGAAGCGAATCCGAGCGCATTAAAAATCGACTAAGTAGCAGCAACAGCTAAGACAACAACTACAAAAACATTGTGTGACAACGACGACATTTCGTTTATAGCATCAGGCCAAAATACATCATCATCAGCTCTCGGCATCATCTCAGCCAAAAGCATCATCATCGGAGGAATCATTGAATGCGAATATCCGAATAAAATAATAAACAGAGAAAAACACAAAACAGCGACGTTTTTAGTGCAAATGTATATCCAATGCGTATAAATATACAGTAAACACTCGTTATGCAGAACCTATAAATGCAGTCATGTGTAATGTTTATAATTCATCGCTTGAGGATTGAACGATTGTTCGATTACAAATTTAGAAAAATATATAACATATATTATTTAGTGGTTAAAATAAACAAAGCCCTGTTTTATAAATCAGAAATTTCCTCTGGTTACAAATTATTAGTAATCAATAAACATTTTTTAATTAAATAGTTAATATATTTACTATATATTTAAATGCATATTCAAGGGATTTCAAAGCCACCTGTTAATATTTTATATTAAAAATAGGATAACATTTTTTACAAAATATATATTACTTTCAAAAGTTGATTTATTTAGATCTACCAAAAATAAATAAAGTAAAGAGTCATCCCTTTTGCCCGGGTTCGGTTTTAGGTTTTTGGGAGAGCGAATAAACAAACCTGACGACATGATCGCGATTGACGACGCCACCGATGTAAGAGAAATGGAGACAAATGAGAGAAACACCCAGGGAAGTGGGAGGGGGCCGGGGAAGAGGGAGATATAGCCAGCCTAGTCGGATGATTCGCAAAATAGATTTTCAATAAAACCCACTCGAAAAAACGCCGACAATGGCGGACGCAGGCCAAAGAGCCATTTCAAATCTATTTTAAACACAAACAAAAGCATTCTCTATAAATCGAGCAACGGCGAAGAGGAAGAAACTTACAAAAACTGTTGGCAAGAATGCGATATGTCACCAGAAGTTGTGGGTTCTGGGCTAACTGGATATATTTTTAAAATACTCAGTTTAAAAGTTATAGTCGATATAACAGTTTGCAGAACTATAAGTCCTAAACTTGCGGAAGTAGAGTTCCAAGCTTTTAAGACTATATAGCGACTTGTTTATGAACTGGAACATAAGATCATACTTTTAGCAAGAAATCATCACACATAAATTTTGGAACACAATAACTAAGTGGGTTATCCCGATTTTCAAAGAGAGCTTATGAATAAACTTTAGAATCAAAGTCATAGGATTGTAAAACAATTAAAATTTTAAGAACAAACTTTCTTTATACTTTTTCAGCTTTTCCTTTAACTTTTTTACGCTTTTCTTGTATTAGTGATGTGATATCCTTTATTTTCTGACGGCTAAAGCAATGTAATGTGAGCATGAAGGACATAATATCCTGGTTTTTAGCTATGCTGTAAATTTCTAGACCCCTAATAAAGTTTTTAGATAATTTTATAGATAAATTTAAGAATCGAAGACAAAAAATTGTAAATCAATACTCGATTATTAAAGATAACATTTGGGTAAAATAATAAAACGGGGTTATTATTTGTTTATAGACTTCAAGCAATTGATATTTGAAAAATAAAACTTTTGTTACATATTTAAACCCTTTTTCTTGTATAGTAATATGCAGTATAGTAATATAACCACCAAGGCCATGAAATCCTGGTACTAGCTATGCTACATAATTTTCTCGACCCCCAATAAAGTTCCTTTCCCATCTAACATTTTTACAGAGTTTTATAGATAAATTTAAGGATCGAAGACAATAGATTGTAAATCAATGCTAAATTATAAGAGATCACATCTGGGGGAACTTAGAAAATAGATTATTATTTTGTTTATAGACTTTAAAAAAACTTAATTATCGAAAATTAATCTTTCATATACCTTTTCACCCTTTTTTTTGTATGGTAATGTGATATCCTATCTTTTAAAGACTGTTTGAGCATAGTAATATAACCACCAAGGCCATGAAATCCTGGTATTAGCTATGCTACATACTTTTTCAAGGCCCCCAATAAACTTATTCCTCTGAACAAAGATCCCAACTAACAACTTCAATTGGACATACAGCCCGGAATCAGATAACGGGGCAGCACTACAATAGAGTATGTGTGTATGTACCACACATATAGCACCACTCGGCATATATGTACATATGTGTGTGTATATACTGCACTTCGAAATGCAACCGCTGCCGGCGGCTGCAAAATGCGAAAAAATTAGCAATTGTTAAGTGCAACTCTTAGTTCCCTTAAAATCCACATCATTTTTCACCGACGAGTGGGGGAAACGCATAATTTCAACGATTTTCCTGGACATTTTCCCATAAACTCACCATTTTCATTTTCAGTTCTGCTGCCCATTGTTCTCCCTTGCTCTTCGCTAAGTTGGCTTTTCTCCGATTTTCCAAGTCTTCCGGGTGTACGAACAATCTGCGGGGGCGGCACTGCAGTTTTCAGTTGGTTTTCGCGGTGTTTTCCAAGTTGTTTAGGCCTTTGTGGCACGCATTTTCACTCGCGCAATGTTGTTTTTGCTTTTGGTCAAAACTAGAGCTGGAAGTAACATCGGCGATGTATCGATACATCGAAGTAGGATGTAGGTAAACATCGATGATTGGCCGCTGAAGCAAATACTATTTTTAAATACTAAATTTGCCATTTTTATTTATTGAGAAATACCAAAGGATATTCTATGGTAGGTTGGTGTCTTCGCTGAGCTAGCGGCGTCACTAACCTTTGTGCTTATGTTTGATCAATGTCCAATTGGAAAATGACAATTAAAACGATTATTTAAATTGAAAAACTAGTAAATTGAAAAAAAGTTAAAAAATATATTAAATTGGGAGGTATTAAACACAAGAAAACCCTATATGAAAAAAACAATAAGTAAAATCATTCTTCATATTTCAAAATAAAGTTGCATTTTTCCAATACTATTCTAGAATTTTAGAAATAAATCAAATCAATGGTTTAAAAATGCATCAAAAAGTTAAATAATAAAAACGACATTCAAAAAGCCCCTGTAAATCCAAAAACCTCACATCTTCAGCACAACTTTCCCATTTTTATGCATATTTATTACACATTCAGATACAATTCGCATTGATATTTCGAGCAGGTATTTTAAATTAAGGCAAAAATCTTCTGTTGGCAAAACTAACTTTATGAGCCGAGTGCATTAACAACGTTTCAATTTTCGTTTCGGTGCGAGTTACTTTAGTTCAACTTGGTGGTGTTTCGGCAGTAGTTAACTTAATTCTTGGAATACATGTCACACGCCTGTCGTTATTCGTTTTCACAATAATTTATTTGGGTTCTCTCGAATTCAATATCGATGTTCGACACTTTTAGCTTAACTTTAGGTTCATCATCATGAGTTTTTGCGTATACGCTTTGATCGGCGTAAGGATTCCGTTTTGGTTATGGCCTTTCTAGTTTATTTACACTAACTCCAGACGCTTCATCTCCTTGAAGAGCTCGTGGCCCATTTTGGCAGGACTCCTGGTCACAATGACGCCGGCCTTTTCCAGGGCGGCGATCTTGTCGTTGGCACCTCCCTTGCCGCCCGAAATGATGGCTCCAGCGTGGCCCATGCGACGGCCGGGTGGCGCCGACACGCCGGCAATGAACGAGACCACAGGCTTGGCCTTGATGCCCTGTAAAAATATATTTTTAAAATTAATAATATTAGAGACCAAGAAATAATAGCAATCCTACCGAATTGTACTCGGTCAGGTAGTCGGCAGCCTTCTCCTCGGCCACGCCTCCGATCTCGCCGATCAGGATGATGCCCTTGGTCTCAGGATCCTTGAGGAAGACCTCCAGGCAGTCGATGAAGTCGGTGCCGTTGAACGGATCACCGCCAATGCCCACGCAGAGGGTCTGGCCCAGGCCGACCTCGGTGGTCTGGTGCACGGCCTCGTAGGTCAGGGTTCCCGACCGGGAGACCACGCCGATCTTACCGCGCTTGTGAATGTGACCCGGCATGATGCCGATCTTGCACTGCAAATCGGATAAAAAGTAGGGAAAGGGTTAGAAAATATTGTAAAAAAATAAAATAATGTATAAATATGTTTCCTATAAATAATTTTCATTAAACAGTTAACACTAAGTTTAATTATTGCACTGGTAAAATTATGGTAAATATTTTTCCAATTTCCAGCTTAAAAACATTGAAATTTAAAATTTGATTAACTAGTTTGCATATTATTTAAGTTAATCTTGCTAATTAATATCAATTAGATGTGCGGTCGAAAGTTACCTTTGTTAATTTCTTTTATAAACACTTTCACTTAAGTCGAAATCTTTGACAGTTCAAATTAATGCTAATTTGAATAACAAGTTCAAGGTGACAAAGTGTTTGACCTAGTCTTTAATTGATTACTTGAAACGTTAATAAATTTAATAAAAAATATTAAAGGAGTATTTTTAAATTCCTTGATAGGCGAATGAAAAATACGTTGCTGATAATGTTATTATTATTGCTATTGACCCACAAAATACATATATTTGAACTTTTTGTTTAAAGTTGGTAGGCTAAATAGCGAAATAAATGATAAATCATTCCAGAAAACTTCAAGTTTATTAGAAAACACTTTAAATAAAGTGGATAATGACTAACAAATTGATTTTTTTATGCTTCGTTCTTCAAGTTTTGTGACTCATACATAGATAAGCGTCATAAATGGTTATAAAAAGTGGTATAAATACAGTTAAGGCGAAGAAAATTTAACTTGAAGGAAAGTACAAAGTTCAAGATATGAAATGATTGCTATTTTTCGCATATTAATAACAAATAAATTAAAAAAGGAATACCAAACAGACATAGTTTGTATTCTTCCATTCGCACGTCATACCAAGAGATAAGAAAACACCAGATGAAGGTGGACTTTGGACCCCAACGAAGCTTATCTTCAAGACTCTAGTACCCTGCAGATGTACGAACCTGTTCGGGTGCGATGATTCCCGGGCAGTTGGGCCCCACCAATCGCGACTTGCTCTGGCTGATGAGGGCGTGCTTCACCTTCACCATGTCGTGCTGCGGCACGCCCTCCGTGATGCACACGATCAGGGGGATCTCCGCCTCCAGGGCCTCGATGATGGCGGCCGCCGCTCCTGGGGGTGGCACATAGATGACGGTGGCATGTGGATCGGTGGCCTTCTTGGCCTCCGCCACCGAGGCGAAGACGGGCAGGCCCAAGTGCTGGGTGCCGCCCTTCTTCGGGGAAATGCCGCCGACCAGCTTGGTGCCGTACTCCAGAGCCTGTTGGCTGTGGAACGTGCCCTGCTTGCCGGTGAATCCCTGGCAGATCACCCGCGAGTCGCCGTTCAGCTTCAGGTTGCCGCGGGTCTTGTTGTACTGCGAATTGCAGCGCACGCCGGCAACGAAGCCATCTGGAAGATATAAAAATAATAATATTATTAGGGGTTTTCAGAGTAATTTAAAAATTTAGAAACAAATTTAAGAAGTATAGTCTATAAAATAAAATAAAATAAAAAGTGTATTTAATTCCCAATATATTTCGCGATTTTCTGGTTAACTTTTTTATATTATTTTAACATTTTTAAAAAATAACAAAATTTTATTAGAAAAAAAAGAAAATAAAAAGTTATTACCCATTCCAAGTAAAAACTTACTAACCATTTTCCAGATATAGTAAAAAATCTATTAAGTTTACAATATACATATTTAACGATTTTCTAAGTAATTTTTAATATTTTGCATTTTTTACACTTTTTAAAAATATTAAAATATTATTAAAATCAAAATAAAAACTTATTACCCATTCCCCAGCTAAAGAATAAAAAATCTATTAAATTTTAAATTTCCAAAGCTTCATGTCAAAGCATAAATGGAATGATTTTCCTTGTACTATAAAAGCCAGATATTTCACTTTAAAAATTTCAGTCTCTTAGCAAGATGAAACTCCTAATAATTTTCTTTCTAGGTGAGTTTACAAGCATTCAAGTTAAAAATATCTTATTTAATCTTTCATAATCCCTAGCCATTGCAACGTTGCAAATCGAAGCATCGAAGAATTGCAGGACTTCGGTTATAGCTCTTAAGGATCCTCATTGTGGTGTTCTACCAACTTGCTACTTTAATGGCGCAAACAAACATGCCGTAGAAAATGAGTCCTGTAGGCGTGGCGAAAATGGTCAAACAGGTTGATTAAAGTAATTAAAGTAAAGATTAAGCAATTAAATTAATTCTATATATTCTTTCAGGATTTTATTCTATACGGAAGGGAAAATGCCCTACTGATAAACCAGCTTGCAGCGATAGGTTATAAAAACAGAAAATAAACCCAGCAATGGTTTTTTAAACTATAAAACTAAAATATTTTACAAGGTTGTTTTTTTTATTGAATAAAATTCCAGTTAATTTAAACATTTTTTACAGCTAATGCAAAATTGTCCGGTACTTATAGCGCTGATCTATAAGAACCTGATATTTCGTTTTAAAATGTCAGTCTCTTAGACGATTGGCAAGATGAAAAACATAATAATTTTCATTCTAGGTGAGTTAAAAAGAATATAAAGCAAGAAATTAAGTATTTTTTACTTTTTCAATTATCATTCGTAGTAATTACAGCTATTCAAATCGAGAGTAAGTATACCTTCTTTCAATAGGGGTCAATTTCAAATAAACATTTTATTTTTTCTTGTCACCTTTAGTAATTCTAACGGAAAAGTGCAGGATGCGTAAGTCCCAAAATAAATTGAATCCTCATTGTGGAATTGAGGAGAACTGTTACTTCAACGGTCGATCTAAAGAGTTTCTAGAATATGTGTCTTGTACACGTATAGCAATTGGAAAGATGGGTAAGTAGTTCTACAATACCACTTTGCAATCACAAATTTAAAGAAATTATTTTAGGTTTTCGTGGAATAATAAAGGGGACATGTCCTACTGATAAGCCAGCTTGTCCCTAAAAAGTCAGTTTTTTAAACTTTTATAAGAAAGTAATGTGTTTCATAAAATGAGTTGTTTTCTGATAATAAATTCCTATGCGCTGCAATAATTATTTAAATAATAATTTCAATAATAATTATATTATACTTGTAAATTGTAAAGTAAGCTAGAATATTTTAGTTCGTGCCTAAAAATTCCAAATATTAGCATTAGCATTTTTAGTTTTCTTAAAGTACGTGTTCCAGCATATGTTAAATAATATAGCTGTTTCCTAGTAAATGGCGAATGATTTTACAAATCGGAGTCATTAATCCTTAAACTTTCTCCAAGACAACATGAAGAATTTCAGCATCCTTTTTGTTCTGGGTAAGCTTTTTTTTACTGTTTTAACCTTTTACATTTAACTGGCCCCCATTTAGTTATTCTAATATTAGAAATCAAGGGTGAATGCAGCTCGACTATTCCACCATATCTTCACCCTCTATGTGGATTTGCTAGTGAATGTGTATTTGAGGCGGGAAATGAAGTTGACATCAAAAATGAATCTTGCAGACGTAGAGAACAGGGAAAAGCACGTAGGTATATTATATTTTAAAAAATGTATTATACTCAAACGATTATAAATTTTACAGCTTTCCTGGCCGTACGAAATGGAAGTTGTCCAACGAACCTAAAGCAATGTTCAAGGGCCGTTGCTCAATAGCTCTAAAATGATTTCCCTTTACAATATATAACGTTATGCAAATAAACCAAAATTTTCCGGTTATCAATATGTGGAATTTAATAAACTTTGTATTATATCAGAAATATTTAATCTCCTGTTGAGTTTCGAACCATTTAGAACATTATGAGGGCTATTAGTTTTATTTTTATTTTCTGTGAGTGTCTTTTAATATTTAATTTAAAATGTACAAATATGGTTTGATCTCTTGACAACTTCAGCTTTTAAAATATTAGAAATCGCGAGTAAAAGTGATTGCGATGGATATATTAAACCTGAGGGAAATCCGTTCTGTGCTTTTGCTGAAAAGTGTAACTACCAAGGCAATAACATTTGGGATGTGGGACAAGAGCAGTGCAAACGTACGGAACAAGGGATACCAAGTGGGTTTATCCTAACTAATGTATTTAAAAATTTATTTAAGCATATCTATACTTTCAGTGTTTATAAAAATTAGGGCTGGAAAATGTCCTACTAACAAACCTGCATGCGAGAAAACTATATGAATAAAAAACAGCAACTACAAAAAATCAGTTATTATAAAATTATGTTAAATTATTATAAAACAAGAAAGGAAGTTAGCTTCGGCCAGCCGAAGCTTATATACCCTTCATTTTAATTCAAAAATCGAAAAATGTTAAATTTTGTATTTTTTTTAATTATTCATTAAAAAAATTATTTCTAAAAAAAAAACATGTTTTAAAAATAATAATATAATGCCCTTGTTTGTGAACGGTAAAAAGCTCTTAATTATATGCAATTTTCTTTCACAAACAGTTTAATTCACAATAAATGAAGAATTTTCTGGTAATTACCGTTGAACATTTTAAAGTCGTTAGTGGGCGGTTGTGGGCGTTAAAGGGGGCGTGACGCTCGGCTGAAATAAACTTGCGCTGCGTAGGAAACTCAAGAATATGTGTGGGTAATCCCAACTTTATAGCTTTTGTAGGTTCCGAGATCTCAGCGCTCATACGGACAGACAGACAGACGGACATGGCTAGATCGACTCGGCTAGTGACCCTGATCAAGAATATATATACTACATTCTTTTCACGGAATACAATATACCCTTTTACTCTACGAGTAACGGGTATAAAAATGTTGCTAAGAATTATGCTGATTCTTGATCATTTCCAGTAAAAGATGTTTTGAAGTCTTGAACGTTAAGTATAAATAAATCAATCTTTTAAAAACGTAGGTATGTACAATGTACATTGTACATATATAAAAACAATACCTATATCTTTATAATGAAATACAATTTTTGTGTGATCTTTTATATGAGATTTTTTTACGTAACTGTTTAATACACGGTAAACAAGGAATTTTCCGGTTATTACTGCGCTGAAACTTTGAAGTTTAGACAGTAAGTATAAAATATTTATTCTTCTGGTGACTTTTGTATTGTAAACATCGCAATGAGGACTATTGGTGTTATTTTAATCTTATGTGAGTTCCTGTACTTTGATATAAAAACACTTTTATCATATTTTTAGCCATTGACAGTTTTAACACTATTGGAGGTCAAGAGTAGAGAATTAATTCGCCAGAGATCAGAAGTGGACTGCTTTGATACCATTAAAGACTCTTCGTATGATCCTTGGTGCGGATATGATATAGATTGCTACGCTCTGGCAAGAAATGCAGATTGGATCGAAGCAGAGGAGTGCATCCGTAGGGAATTGAAAAGGCCTGGTAGGTGTATTCAGTTTGACACTTTTAATGCACTACATTATCTATATTTGCAGGATTGTTGAAAGTAATTAAGGGCAAATGTCCAAATGATAAAGCACCCTGCTTTCTTTTACCCCAAAATTAATATTTTTACAAAAATGTAATACGGAAAATAAAAAAATGTTGTTAGGAATTATGCTGATTCTTGATCATTTCCAGTAAAAGATGTTTTTAAGTCTTTATACTTGATAAATAAATCAATCTTTTAAAAATGTAGGTATTTACATATATCAAAAACAAGAGAGAGAGAGAGAGAGATATAAAACTTTGAGCACGCATAACTTGCGATTTTAAACAATCTTTAACTTTATTGTAAAATTGAGTTGTTCTTGTGCACAAATACAAATATCCTTTTACTCTACGAGTAACGGGTATAAAAATACCTATATCTTTATAATGAAATACATTTTTTGTGTGACCTTTTATCAGAAATTATTTTACGTAACTTTTTAGTTCACGGTAAACAAGGAATTTTCCGGTAATTATTGTGCCGAACCTTTAAAGTTTAGATAGTAAGTATAAAATATTTAATCTTCTGGTTCATACTTTTGTATTGTAAACATCGCAATGAGGACTATTGGTGTTATATTAATCTTATGTGAGTTCATGTACTTTGATATAAAAACATTTATATCATCTTTTGCCATTGACAGTTTTAACACTATTGGAGGTCAAGAGTAGAGAAATAATTCGCCAGAGATCAGCAAGTGCTTGCTTTCATACTATTAAAGACTTTTCTGATGATCCTTGGTGTGGATATGATAAAGATTGCTATGCTCAGGGAAAAAATGCTGATTGGATCAGGGCAGAGCAGTGTGAGCGTAATATAGGTAAAAGACCTGGTAGGTGTACTCACTTTGCTCTCTTTAATGCACTAAAGTTTATTCATAATTTTAGGATTTTGGAAATTAATTAAGGGCAAATGTCCAAAGGACAAACGCATATGCAACTGGGTCCACTGGTAATTGTCTAGATCTAAAAATCTGGGATCTGGTAAAACCTATTGAGGTTCAAAAATGAATTAAAAACTATTATGAAAAAAATATATACATAGATGAATAAATATTTTTTCTTAATTTGAACTATTTAATGTTTTACAGTAAAATAAGATTTCCCGGTATGTAATAATGTGGAATTATAATTTAGACTTGAATTTTATCTTAACACTTTTCATAATATTTTTAACAGATTTCGCAAAGCATTTTAAGAGCCATTCAATATCAATTACATTTAGGATTCCTAATTCTAAAATATTTCAGCGATCTTTAAAGCAATGTACCACTGTACTCTCCCATCTTTTTTTATTCAAAACTATTATGAACTGAACTTAAATAAAATGCAAATATTTTCAAAATTTTTTTCTTACTGCACTTTGAATCCAACTTGATAAAAATACATTTAAAATATTCAAATGACCGCCATAGCGAAGTTCCACTGTACTTGTTGCCGAAAAACGGTTGTTTGTACGCTGGGTCACATGCAGGCGAACCTTGAACACAGCCCCCGCACCCCCTCCTCATCCCCTCACCCGCTAAATACATATATCTCTTCCTCTTTTCCGAAGCCACGTATCTGCGGGCTCGCAAATTAAGCCGACCGTTAATCCCAATTGAGGCTGACTAATCAGCAGATCTTTCTCACCGACAGGTGCCCTCTATTTGTTTGCCTTTTCGCCTCTCTGCGGCCATAAATCCATCGAAGTTATATAATTTACTATGCCATTATGCTAGACCGCGGCTGTTAGGCAACCGGATGTCGGGATACGCACCTCGCACTTTCAGCAGCGCCCTCATTGAAGCAGCCATGTTATCTCTGTGAGGTGGTTGTGCGATAAAAACAGCTTTACTTAATTAAAACGCGTTTAATTATGCGAAATCGGCTTCTTCTTTTTTTTTCCCCCGACTTGCAGTGTGACCACTGCGTATGCGTGATTTTGGTATTTTCGGGAGAACGTTACACCGTGCAATTTAGTGGTGGCAGTTAGAGGTGCCACCTGATTGGAATCGCTGTCGTTTTAGCGTTTTTCCAGACAAATATAGCTTGTTTTTGACTGAAAGAATTTAAAAGTCTGATTTGGTTTATTTTGTATATATAATTTACGAAAAGCTACAAATGTTTATTGTTTTTAAGGGGAGGTATTTTTCTGACGGGCTAAAGAAGTTGGAGCATTGCTGGGTCAAGTGTATTGAGCTAAAAGGAGATTATGTTGAGAAATAAATCGCCACTTTTCCAAAATTTTTGTTTTTTTTTGAGGCTAAGTACTTATTGGACCACCCTTCTCTGTACTTTCAAACATTTCGTTTGAAATAAAATACAAACAATTCTATATATGAAACTAAATGAAAAATTAAGGAAAATTAGTTTATTTTAAATCTGAAAATTGTTATTTAATTATATTTTATTATGTTGAGAAATAAATCGCCACTTTTTGAAAATTTTCGTTTTTTGTCGGACCACCCTTCTATATGTTAAACTAAATAAAAAATTTATAAAAATTATGTTCATTTTAAATCTGAAAAATGTTATTTTTCAGACGGGTTAAAGAAATTTCGATTTTCTTTTGGGCCTAGTTCTTATCGTACTTTCGAACATTTCGTTTAAAGTAAAATACAAAATAATTTTAGATATGTATATAAATAAATAAAAAATTAATGAAAATTATTTTAATTTTAAATCTGAAAATTGTTATTGTTATTAATAATATTTAACTTTACCAACCGCTTATTCCACAACACCATCCATTTAAATTCAAAGTCATATTTTCACTCAACTGAACCTTTATTTCGAGAAATTAAAGAAAGGACAGGTCAAGTGTTTGTATCGACTACGTAAAATATATTGCCTCTCGTTAGACCTCTGGAGTCTAAATACTCGGGTGGCTTACACACTATTAACTATCAACTAGCACAAAGTACACAAAATGCGCCTGCGATTATCAAATGATTTTCTGCTCTCCTCGCGGCGACTACGTTTTAAAAACTTTTTCTAAGGCCAAAAAATTGATACAAAATATAATTATTGTATTCCATTTCAAGTTAATATTAAGTGTGTCATTGCTTTTGAACGGAGGGCTGAGGTGGTGGTGGGCTTCGGTTTCTTTCAGGCTCTATCATCTAATTGAACAGATTCTCGTTGGCCGCGGGGAGATCCTCCAGCGGCGGATGATCGTGGACATCCGGCTCCTGCTGATCCCGCTCCGAGCCACGATTAAATGCATTCTCCTCGCCCTTTTTCAAGCGCTGGTAGACCAAAATGGAGCGACCTGTGCGCGACTGGCGATGCTGCAATAGAGAGGCGAGATTAGGTGACTGGGCGCCCAGTGCCTGCGACCACTCGTCCACCAGAGCCTGCGAGCCCTCCAGCCGGATTACCTCTGCGTGCTCGATGCGATGGAGCAGCCGGTAGTTGCGGAGGAACACGCTGATGTTCTCGGCCAGCGGATCGAAGAGGACCACATGCGTGGGCTGGGCGGTAAGCGGATGTATGGGTATATTCGAGTTAATCCAATGCAGGGGGTCCTCGAAGAAGCGATCGGCCTCGTCCTTATACTGCTCCTTCTTCTCCAGATTGGGCTCGCAGGTCAGGAACCGCATGGTGACATTCTGGTGAATGTGGCTAGAGAAGAAAAATCATTTATAAAACCTTTTTAAATAAATATATTTTTAAAAAATCGTGGAGGTAGTTTTAATAGCCTCTTAAACGGCCGTGAAATCAGATTGGAGAAAAGTCTTACAGAAGGACCGCGAGGCTGTTATGAGTTTTATTTTGATTGGAATAAAAAAAATTTACTTGAATAAGTTATTTTTAAAAGTGGTTAACAAATTTGCAAAAAATCGTGGAGGTAGCTTTAGTCAGATTGGCGAAAAAAATTAAAATCATCAATAATCATTATTTTTTAGTCCTATTCTTTTGATCAAAAATAAAGATTACCATTGAAGAAAAAGATAAAAATCATATATTTAAAAATCATGGCGGGAATGCATAGATTGGACAAAGTTAATTGTTTTGGTGAAAATCTTTTTGTTTTTCGGGCTGTTATAATTGGCCGATTTTTTTGTTTGAAGAAATAAAAATAATGATCATTAAAGTGAAAAATTAATTACCTGTAGTACGGAGTAGAGTGGCAGGGCATCAGGAAGAGTATGTTCGCCTGATGCTCGCGCTCATCGCGATACTCCTGGGCAATCTCCCTCAGCTTGGGCATCAGTTCAATGGGTCCCTTCTGGTGCACAGTGCTTAAATACCAGGCGGGCAGGACATTGCCCACCAGGATCACCAGCGCAGTGGTCCACAACATAGTGCGCGAGGCACTGTAACTCCAGCGGGACAAGGCATCCGTGATGACATACAAGCAGAGGGGCAGCAGCGAGGACACAAAACGGAACTCCTTGTGCTCCACGGCACTCAGAACGACCAGGGTAAGGAATATGGTAATCAGAAGCTGCTTGCTAACTGGATACTTCTCCGATTTCCTCACAGTTTCCATAACGCCAAAGATAAAAGGCAGCGTGTTGATGCCCAGAACGGTGGGCAGACCCACGGTGAAGTACCAGTGCCACGGATGCGAGCCATAGAAGCTGCCGATGTTGTTGAAGATGTTGTACTTGAGGAATTCGTAGGGGGTCACAATCAACTGACCATGCCAGTAAGTATCAATGGCGATTCCGAGTCCGGCGACGAGTAAACTGAAATATTAAGAGGGGTTTTGTTAAAATAATGATATTTTAAAGGCTTATATAAGCCATATTCCTACCCAATGAGCACAAAACGCTTGAGAATCAGCTCGACGACATTCTGGCGGCTCTTGCGGAGATGATAGAGGGATAATGGAAGCCAAATAACAGCCGCTGTGGGCCGCAGGAAGCAGCAGATGGCAGCTGGCCACAGATATGCGGTGGATTCGCCATACCAGGGGAAATAGCTCAGGGCAATGGTGGTCAGAGAGGCCTCTAAAGTATTGGCCAGGGTACGAGAGCCCGTGTAGAACCAGAACCAGGGAACGAGGATCAAGAACAGCGCCCACTTTCGCTTGCCGGTCCAAACAAAGAAGCGATAATCGGAGTAGGCAGATAGCAGGGACTGGAGAATCCTCGGCAGCAGCACCAGTAGCTGAGCAGTGTCCAATTGCAGGAGGGCCAGGATCTTGTACAGTCCGGCAATCAGCAGGGGATACACGTAGCTGCGAATGCCTTGAACCCACTCCCAAGTCAGGTAGCCATAGCTGAAAATATGAGGAAAAAGGTGGGTTAGGTCAAGGTCAAATTTTCCAAGAATTCGTTCGATTTCTATTCATATCTTCTAAGGATTTTTAGATTACAATAAAAATAACCATAATAAAGTTCTATAAATTAAACCTATTAATAGTTATTAATTAAAAATAAAAAATTTCCAATGAAATAATGTAACAAAATAGCATTATCCAGAAATATTTATCTAAATTTCATAAGAATTTATCTATTAAGTGAAATATTTTTAAAGAATAATTTTTAGTTAACATTTAAATGATCATTCTTGTTTTCTGTGATAATAGGGTTAAGTAAAGACCGTATATTCTTTAGATATTATTAGTAATGGTAATTTATGAGTGAAAAATATCATTTAGGGGATACATTTTATAAAAACTGCGTTTCCAATCTACAAACCATGAACTTCTAATCGAAATATAACGAAATCCATGAAGATTACAATCAGAAATTGGACTAAAACCCATTTTTGTATAGTTAGTAGATGGGATTATTTCTAATTGATAAGGTACAAAGGTACATAGTACGAATCGATCTCAAATTTAAATGAACTTTGTAGTTTTCTGTGATAAATTGGTTAAAGAGTGACATTTTGAAGACCCTGTATTCTATACATATCATTAGAAATGCTAATTTATGAGTGAAAAATGTCAAGTAGGTTATGCACTTTATAAGAACTGCAGGAAATATAAACTCTCAATCGAAATCGAACGAAATCCATGAAGATTAAGATCACAAATGGGACCGAAATCCCTAAAAATGGAACCTACCCAAAGGTCAGTTTGTGGGCCACCTCCAGACTCTGCCAATATTCATCCGGAACGTAGTAGGTTTGGACCACGAAAACGGAGGCCAGACGCACGGCCAGAATCAGTAAAAACACGTAGAGCAGCCTCATTTCGAATAGCGCTGCGTGGGTCCAAAAAACTCTTCCAACCCAAAATTAGTCACCCGGAAAACCGGATGGCGTTTGCTGTCACCTGGAAAAAAAGAGGTTTTAGTACAAGATTTCGGGCGACTTTTGCGGCCGGTCCTAACCTTAAATAGTTGCGTGCGTTGGTGATTTACCAACCGGTCGGATTTGGTAGAAATTCCGGAATTTTACGCCACAAAAATGAGACTTTTCGGCGAAAAAGGCGGCTAAAAATAACGCGAAGAGCAGAGCAAAGCAAAAGCGAAAAAACCGAAACGGGCAGTGTGACCGCAGCTAGTGCCTGCCAGAATATCCAAAGCTATCGGTTGTTATCGTTCAGGGTTGTCAAGTGCCGGAGTTTTGAAAAGTCATATTTTTAACTAAATACTACGCACATTCCATTTAAAAAAAAATTCTAGTAAATCTTACTTCGGTATGATATCATAAAGAATATATTTTTACTTTCATACATTATACATTTCATACATGGAAAAATATTTGGCCAAGCAAATTATCTTGAAACGTGACTTTGTATCCACCACTTGAAGTAATTAACATCCGTATAGACGGCATCAGTCATGCAAGACTCTGGTCCATTACTGACTATTCCGATCTGTGCAAAGATCAGATAGTTTTTATATTGGACCTCGGAGATCAGGGGCCCACCAGAGTCGCCCATACAGGTGTACGCTAGCTCGGAGCCAGCGCAGATCTTTGAATTCGTGTTGGCAAACGAGCAATCGGAGGTAGGTGGTGTCCTTCGGTTCATATGGGTGGTCTGTACAACTTGGCTTAGCGTACTGTTTTGCGTTATACCCCAGCCGAAGACCTGGAATCTATCGATGATTCTTGGGTTAAATCTGGGATCCAGGATCAGGCACATTGGGCGGATGTAAGCTGCAGGAAATTTTTCGTTTAATTTGAATTTGAAATAAGCAAAGGTATTTAATATTTAACATACAGTTATACTTTACGTCTTTGTCCAACCTCAAAAGGCCTATATCATTCGACTCTTGATATACGCTAAACCTAGGATGAGGTATACTCTCGACCACATTATACTCCTTCACTTCTTTGCAAACAGTGCAGGATCTATCATATACTCCTAACCTCACAATCCTAAGGTAAAAATGTTTGAACAAAAATTTAAAAGAAATCTAAAGCGATACTTACAATTGACCTTTGCCTATTATGCAGTGTGCGGCAGTCAGGACAAAGTCTTAAAACCAAAATAATTAAAGATTTTATAAAAAAAGAAAAAAAGTGTTACCAACTTTTGTGAATAAGCGTTCCTGCGCATAAGAAATCTACAGTCGAACTGCGTAGGATTGCCATCCAAGGACTGGATTCTACAAGTGCATTTTGGCCAAACACTATCCTTTCTTGTTGCTTCCTAGGACTAATACAACTTTTATCCAAGAGATGAGATATTTTCACATGGCTAAATACCGAGCCAAAAAGAGCTAGGAAAACCACGAAGGACTTCATTCTCAGCGAAGAGAAGCGAGTAGACTGACTTAAATGCGGATATTCCCCTTTAAATACGGGCCCCACATGAAGTCCAAATGAACCTTATCTCTTCCATTTAATCCATAAATGTTATTTCGAAGAATCGATGCAATATAAAAGTTAAAACTGGAATTAACATCTTCATAAAGCATGACATTTTAAAGAAAACAACATAAAAGAAAATAATGTCTTTTCTTTGGAAGTTTCTTATTAGACGACATAATAAAAAAAGCAATTTATACGTATCAATTTTTCCATATGAGTAATACGAATTTATACCAATACGATACAAAATCAAGCAAATATATATGAATACCTAAAATATTAATATGAATACTCAAAAGATCAAATGGGACATCGAGACGTGTTCCTAAAAATAGTATGGCTGTATATTCTCAATTTCTGAGTATATATGTGTGATATGATACAAACTAGCGTTCCGCAGGATCCCCTAGAATCTGCGTGAAAAGTTTCATGAGAAGTTTCAGCACCATTGCAAGGTATTACAAATGAACTTAACTGACGTTTGGTAAATACTGAATTTATAAAATCGATTTGTTATGCAATTGTAATCCAACATTTTCCGGTATTTCATTTTCTATAAAAGCGTTGCTTAAAGTAGCACTACGTTACTTCCCTATCCAGCATTATGGGCGCTCGAAACTTTTTCTACACTTTGGGTAAGTTTTTTTTTTATAAAATTAGCGCCAACAAGTTTAAAAAGTTTCTTTGGGAAAAGTGATCGTAATGGTAGCAAATGCACCTCCAGCATGCTATCCGCCATCGAATTGCGTTGGATGATGAGACCGTGACCATAATTGCATTATAATTATGATAAACTATAACGATATCTGTAAAGAAGTTTTGTAACTAGTTTTGAATAAATAACATGTTGTATATTCATATTCAAGGATTTATTTCGTTATAAATGCATAATGAACACACTTTCAATATTACATTGTTTTGAATAAGAAAAAAAAAGATCCCATTACTTATGCTATTTGATCAAGAGCTCTTTATATATTCTTTTGAATGAATAATTAGCATAGTGTCAGGTATTCAACTTATGGGCTCTTGTAATTGGAAATCTGATATCGTATCCACCACGTGAAGGTCTTAATATCCGTGTAGACGCCATCGGCGATTCCAATCTGAGCGATGATCAGATTGTCCATGTACTGAACCTCGCCGACCAAGGGTCCGCCAGAGTCGCCCGAACAGGTGTCACCAATAAGCGCGCCTGCGCAGATCTTCGAATAAGTTTCGGCATTAAAACAATGGATGGGATCTCTACGAGCCAGGGAGATCATCTTTAGCTCTTCGCTAAAAGTTATGTTTTCGGTTATACCCCAGCCGAAGACCTGGAATTTATCCATTAGTTTTGGGTTGAATCCGGAATCCAAGACCATGCAGATTGGACGAATGATGTCTGGCAAAGAAATGATTTTATAATTATTAAGAAATTCTGATTGATGATCCTGATTTGATAATTATTAAAAAAATATAGACATGTCAGATTTTAGATATAGTTTTCTAACGAAAATGGCTCAAAGAAAAAGTAAACTTTAATTAATTTTCATAATATATCATACCGTTGTACTGCACTTCTCTATCCAGTCTCAAGAGTCCTACGTCATTTAGCTTCTTCTGAGGGTCAAATTTAGGATGAGCTATATTCATTTCCACATTATATTCTTGCACTTCAGTGCAAACAGAAGCGGGGCAAGATATATTGTGAACTCCTAATCGTACATGCCTAAAGGAATATATTTCAAATAATAATTTTGACTTAATCTTTAAAATGAGATACTTACAATGCACCCGTGCCTATAATGCAGTGAGCAGCTGTCAGGACAAAATCTGGAAAACAAGCGTAATATTTAATATGTCTTCCTAATTAAAAAACGGTTACCAACATTTGTTTATTAACGATCCTCCACATATGAAAGAATTAGTATCATTGTATAAGGCTGCCATCCAAGGATGTCTTTTTTCAAGTGCCACAGCTCCAAAAAATATTTTGTCTAATAAATTGGTATTGGTACATTTGTCATCCAGGAGATGGGATACTTTCAAATGGCAAAATACCGACCCGACAAGAGCCAAGAAAACCACAAAGGACTTCATTCTTAGCGAAGAGATGCGAAAACTGTCTGATTGAAAAGTTCAAAATACATGGCTTTATATAAGGCCCGCAAAGCGAAGACCAAGTCAAGCTATGATAACATTGAGAAGATCTTTTATGGAGGTATTTCCACATTCCAAAATGTTATCTTCCATTTATTCCGAAAATATTATATTTCCAAGAATAGCTTAAAGGTTTTAAACTTTCCACTTTTAAACTTTAAGCCAAAACAGCAGCACAATAAAAAACAAGAGAAAGTGCCCCGACTATCAGATACCCGTTACTCAGCTAAAGGGAGTGCGAGGCAGAAGGAGATATAAAACTTTGATCGCGCATAACTTTTTAACGAACGATTCAATTTGAAAAATTTCTTCTACATTTCGATGGGTATTGATTAACACAATAAGATTGCATTTTTACTTTTCCGAAATCCCTGTTGCATACTTTTGCACGAATACAATATACCCTTTTACTCAACGAGTAACGGGTACAATGATCTATCTTTTCTCAGAATAGGCTAGAAGATAAGGAGTAATGGAATACTTGTGTTGCGTAAATATTGAACTTTGATCACATGATATTTTATGCCTTTAAATCTAATAATTTGCAAAAAGAAAATCTCTACTGGACAAGTGACTTTAATAATATCATCCGTTACCCAAAAATTATAATAATAAAATACATATTTTAATGTTTTATGTTTGTAACAAAACCAAATTTTGAAAACAAAGCAAAAATTAAAAAAAAGAAATTATAACACATTTTAAAAACTATTTCAAATAGATAGCATACTATCGATTTTCCCACTCGCAGATACAGATACTAATAATTTTGCAAAAGCGAAATCTCTACTAGATAAGTGGGTTTAATAATGTCATCCGTTACCTAAAAATTATAATAATAAAATAGATTTTTTAATGTTTGTAACAAAACCAAACTTTGAAAACAAAGCAAAAGTTAAAAAAAAATTTAGAACATATTTTAAAAACTATTTCAAATAGATAGCATACTATCGATTTTCCCACTTGCAGATACAGATACAGAAAATGGTTAGTCGACCGGGTGCCACCCCCAATCAGCTGATGAGTTTAACGTCAAAACAATCGGGTCTTTCGTAACGTCAAATCAAAACACACGGGACTACAGGTAGCCCCCACTGAAATTGCAGGATGTTCAGCATTCGCTGCCTGCGCCAGTGCTACGGTCTCCGGACCCAGAAGATCCATGGATCCCTCGGTTCTCGCAGGGATTTCACGGCCCTGTGCAGGGGGAGAACCCCATTAATGGGGCACCAGAAATACGAACTCCGTTTAACCCACGGAAAAGGAGGCGAGGCGGAGGGTGGAGCCCTGAGCTTCATACTCCTGCGATGGTCGAAAACCGCCTGGAGCAATATGTTCGGAAAGTACCTCCTCATAACGAACGTGGTGGGATCGGGACTCCTGATGGTCGTCGGCGATGTGATTGCCCAGGAATACGAGTACAGAAGAGGATTGCGGCACCAGGATCGCTTCGATACGGATCGCATGTACAGGATGTTTGTGGCGGGAGCGCTACAAGGACCCCTCCATCACTACGTTTATAATTGGATGGATAAAGTAATGCCCGCCCGCACCTTTCAGAATATCCTCAAGAAAATCCTGATCGACCAGCTGGTCATGTCGCCCGCCTGCATCCTCATCTTCTTCTACTCCATTTGCTATCTGGAGCGTCAGACGCTGGAGGCTACCAACCAGGAGCTAATCTCCAAGTTCCCCTATGTTTATCTGCTGGATTGGATGACCTGGCCGGCGGCTCAGTACCTGAACTTTCGCTATCTGGACACCAAGTACCGGGTGACCTTCGTCAATGTGTGCACCGCCGTTTATAATGTACTCATGTCCTATATGAAACACGATTTCGGGATTCATTTGCCGCTGGAGGAGGAGACTTTGGAGATTCCAGCGATTCCAGAAGCCCAGAAGTCCGTTTAAGACATAGGATACATGTGATATTGATAGGAATCTAAATTACCAAGTCATTTTGTGCACACGAGTGTTATTATGTAACCAGAAGAGGCTCTTAATATCAATATATATGTATTTAGTACAAAAGTGGAACTAAACGCTGTCTATGTTGTAATCCCTAGGGAAAAGAAACTACTTTTATCATTGCTGATGATATATTTTTAAAGTTGTTAAGTTTTAAGCGTGGCACTCACATTTTTGATATAATAAATGGTTTAAATAAGCTAAATGTTGTCTGTAAATTAAATATTTGAGGGGAATAATTGAAGAACAGTACAGAACTTTAAACCAAAAAAAAACATATCAAATCGCCACCTCAGACTAAATTATCAATTGCGAATACAAATATTTGTTTAATTGATAAGCAAAGTAACGAAACTAGTCATTGTATGTTCAAGAATTAATATTTTAACACAACATAGACGTGTGAAATTATCTTACGATCAATAAAGAAAAAAGTAGAAAAGAATATTTACAATTTAAAGTTTTTTATATCTCAACTTAATTTTCAAGAATTAATACTTTAAGACAACATAGACGTGTGAAACTATCTTTCGATCTAGAAAAACATTAGTCAGAAAAATTCCTAAAGAATATTTGAAAGGAATAAATGAAGGAGAAGTTGTATAGAAATTTGAACCAAACAAAAACTTATCAAAATGTAACATCAGACTAAATTATCATTTTCTAATGCAAATATTTGGTTAATTGATAAGCAAACTAACGAAACTAGTGATTGTATGTTTATGAATTAATATTTTAAGACAACATAGACGTGTAAAATTATCTTACGATTTAAAAAAATTAAATTCTATTGAAGAAAATAAACATAAGTTATTTGTAACTATATTTTATATTTTAATTCTTAAAGAAAATAATGTTAAATGCAAACTCCCCCTAATAAGAACTATAAAACTCTTTAGTTTACCCTCCTCACTTGATCACAATCGTCTCCACGGGCTGGCTGATCCCAAAGATGTGCTGCGCCAGCATCAAATGTTCCTGGCTGATGAAGTTCGCCAGCAAAGTGATCACATTCTCATTGCAGCGGGCAATCTGCTGGCGAGTTATGGCTTTGAATTCATCCCTGGCTCCCTTGTCCGCTCCGCGAGTTCCGATTCTTCGGTTTTCCTTCGGAGTGCCACTCGAAATCGGTGAGCTGGTCAACTCGAAATTATCCTCCAGCTGCGAGTTCCAAATGTGCGACAGTTCCTCAATCAAATCGATGGCAATTATGTAGGTGGATAGAGTGCGCAGATTGAACGACTTGCGTTGCTTAATCAAGCTAAGAATTTGCTGGGTGAGCAGGACATCGTTGAGCAAGTTTAGTTGCTGCAGCACCAGGAGATCCCCAAGCAATCGATCCGGGCAGTTGGGCTCGTAGACCTTGCGGCTCAGCCGGCTGATAATAGCGCCCACGCAGTACTGAACCAAAGCGGAGCGAGTGAGGGGCAGGAAGACCATGTGGCGGTGGCCTTTGAGCGACATATTGTCCAAAAGTTGACCCTGGGTGGCGGGCAATTCGGAGAGGATCTTCAGAATGCACTGGAAGCCCTGGAGCTGTAATAAAATTCGAAGAATTAAGGTATAATCCTTTAAATAAATAAGGTTTAGACTAGAGCCCTGCGTGAATCATTCAATTTTTGTTTTATCATAGTATGCCATGAAATTTCTGATTTGTTTAATTCAATTCTATGTGAAATAAATTGAATGTTTTACTAGTTTATTTTGAATTGAATGAATAAATAATTTTTATAAATTTGTTGAATTTGCAACATTTTTTTGTGCTTTCTTTTGAAAACAAAAAGTGAAAAATTTTTAACAAATCAATGTTAACTGTTTAGAAATTAAAATTCATGTAGATTTAATCACAAAATTATGCCCCTTTCTTTTTCAAAATAAATTGTCTTTTGAATTATTTCGGAATTCATGCCATTCATTCATTCAATTCTATTAAACTCAAAATTCAAATTCATTCAATTCTATAAAACTCATTAATATAAAACAAAAAATTCAAAATAATTCATTGAATCCATTAAATCAGGGCTCTAATTAAAGTATAATCCTTTAAATAAAAAAGTTATAGACTCACAGTCATGCTGCCCTGCATCAAATTAAGACTCAGGATCTGCAGACTCTGCACCAGGCTGCTCTGGGTGGTCATGTCGGCCATCAGCTTGTTGGCCTCATCGCGGTGCCCGAAATAGATGGCCAGATCGAAGAGGAACCTGGAGATCCAGGGCGCGAGCGGCAGGGCGAGCATAAGTTGGCTGAAATCCCGCTGAAACTGATCCGTGTTCAGGAGCTGCCAGCACTGGGCGGCGTGCAGAAAGGCCTTGGACAATTCCGGACTTATGGCGGTGGTGAGGGAGAATTTTGGGGGCTCCATGCTGGGCACCTCGGAGCCATCGCCATCCGGCGACCATTCCATGAAGCCCTCCACCAAAACATGGCTCACATCGGCATCCTCGATCCGCAGCTTGCAATTCCTTATATAACCGTGGAGGGAATAAATAAACAAGGTGGTGGCGTAGAAAAGAACCTGCGAACTGCCCGCCGGACTGCCGGAAAGTATATCCACCAGCTTTTCCCAGTAGACATTCTGATTGACGTGCTTGCTGAAGGGCAGAAAGGGTTCCCAGCCCATCATTTGGCCGCAGATCATCAGGACCTTGAAGATATTCTTCCAGGCATCCGCCGTATCCGATTCATCCATGATTTGCCGGAGGTAAAACTCCAGGGAACTGGTATAAAGCCTGCAGGCAAGATTAGGCGAAAGTTCCGGCGGTTTATTTTGAATCATAGGCAGAACCTCCTCCACCAGGATCCTCTGATAAAGATCCGGATCGGTTTTCATGCCCTCCGCCAGCATTTCCAATAATCTAGGAGCCTGAGTTAGCGCCGATTTGGGGAACTTGTTGAACATCAGTATGTAGATATAGACGCGCTCCAGATTATCGGCGCTGTGATTGATCGTGTGCATGAATATATTGTGCTGAACCTCGGGCGTAAGATGTTTGTACATCTTAACGTAAAACTCGTGTTCCGGGGTATTTTCACTCTCGTTTCTCAGGGCGTTTGTTAAGGCATTTATCTCCTGCCACAGTTCTGTATGTTGATTGGGGAAATTGGTGGCTCTGAAAGGTTAAAATATATTAGTTCTATATCTTAAGCTACTATACCATCCACTCACACGGCGCTGAAACACTTGGCAGCCTCCTCAATTCGTTTTCCATCGCGTTCTAATAGGTAAGCTTCGTACTGCAGATTAAAGGCATTGGGATATAGCGTTTTGGCCGTGATTATCCAGGCCATGGCCGCACAAGGATCGGATTTTCGAAGACGTTGCGCCTCCGTGACCATGTACAACTCATTTTCCTCATTGCTGGACATGTTTATATAGGGATTTTCTTGGGTTTTTATAAATCTTTATGAAATCTAAGGTAAACAATACATTTGTTTAGCCGGTTCTTAAACAGCTGTTGACCAACACTGTAGTTTAGTGCTGGCATAAAAACTAGCTAAAAGTAGCTACTATAGAAACTAGCTAAAAATAGCTACTATTATTAAATATTTATTTTAAACTAAAACGCATTTCTCAATTACTTAGGCTTTTGCCTAATTGTTTAATATCAGAAATTCATTTGAATTATTTTATCTTTCAGTATAAGTTGTTAGTAATCTTTTTCTAACGTTCAATTTTAAACCAGGTTGTTTAATGATAAGCTAAGTTTTTCAAAAAAATAATGTTCTCAAATTAATTTAAGAAAATCTAGACAATTGGAATTTCGTTTCTATCATTACACGATATTTATACCCGTTACTCGTAGAGTAAAAGGGTATATTGTATTCGTGCAAAAGTATGTAACAGGTAGAAGGAAGCGTTTCCGACCCCATAAAGTATATATATTCTTGATCAGGATCACTAGCCGAGTCGATCTAGCCATGTCCGTCTGTCCGTCTGTCCGTCTGTCTGTCTGTCCGTCTGTCCGTATGAACGCTGAGATCTCGGAAACTATAAAAGCTAGAAGATTGGCATTTTGCATGCAGATTCTGGGAGTTCCTACGCAGCGCAAGTTTATTTCAAAAAGGTGCCACGCCCCCTCTAACGCCCACTAGCCCTCTCTATCGCCCACAGTTTTGAAGCTATTATGAAAATAGTAACTGATATGTATTTGTTTCGTCAATACATATCGATTGGCCAAGTAAAAGTTTGCCACGCCCACTCTAACGCCCGCAAAACCCATTTAACGCTTAAACCTGTCTAGCGCCTACATTTCCGCCTTTCATGGCCAGTAGTACCAATATCTTGGGGTAGATGGCTCAATTCAATATACAATAGCGCCATCTATTCAGATGGTTAATTTGAACTTTTTGTCCTTTTTTTCTGTGGTCACACTAATTCACAATATGTTATTGCAAATTTTAAATTATTTGAAAAGGGCGCGCATTTTGTCTCTTTTTGCTCGTATTCGTTTTTCACAAGTGCATTCACCTGCGCTAGAGAGAGACGGAAGATGTGCTAGGCAGAATTTAAAGTTTTAGAAGGCCTCCACGTGGAGTTCCCTGGGTAAAAAACGGGAGCTAATTCCAGCTTCGAAAAACAAAAAAGGAGGCATATTTCTATTAAGTTGTTTAGCTGAGTAACGGGTATCTAATAGTCGAGGCACTCGATTATAGCGTTCTCTCTTGTTTTGTAGTACAGATATCCTCAAAATATTTTTCTACTATGTCTAAATTTGTGGAGTTTTTGAAGAGTTAAAAAGAAAAAATAACACACAAATTTTTTTAAATTAATTTCATGAATAAAAAGTCTAGCCAAATTTTAGCTAAAAACTAGATAGCTCCTTCCCTTATCGATATATTTTGCTATCGATCAGTGTTGTAAAGTGGCGGCTGCTTGCCAGCTGATTTTTGCAAAAACTAATATAATTTTACAATTTTCTGTGATTTTTACGCTTACAAAAGCGAAAACTATAATAAACAAAAGATATGTGGAACTGACCGATGCAACTGCTTATGTAATGTGTGTGACTAAGCGCGATTTCTAGAAATTAATTGCCAACGCGTCGTGTTTTGTTATTGTTGCATCGATGAACTTTTCGCAAGTTCTTGTAAATAAAATACTTATATGTAATATAGTGCCACATCTGCTGCAGTTTTACCATAAATAGAACGAAATTGTGATTTCCCCATTGGTTTACCGGGGCCCAACGAGATCACTAGAAATTCCGGTGCATCAACGCAGTATGCCCCACTTTCCGATTGTCATTGGGTAAAAAAAGACAATGACAGTCGAAAAAGTATTTAAAATCCAAAACACTTGCACAAAATTCGTACGTAAATATTAAAATGTCAGAGGCGAAATCGGAAATTGGGGGTACTATGGAAATAACCGGCCCCTCGACTTCGGGCGAGCAACGAGAACCGCAACAAAATGAGCCACAAGTGGTTGCCGCCAAGGACACCAAAGCTCCGGATCAGGGTAAGTAATGGAAAAAGTAAAGGATTACTCAAGAATCAAGAATCTAGATATAAAGAACTGTACTTAAGACCACCTTTAAATTATTGATAAATGGCTTGCCGTTCCCATTTCACCCCCTTTGTTTACTCGTAATCTACACTATTTATTAAAGACTTGACACTTTTCACAAATCGAACACTGGTCTATAAATCATTGAAACCGAATGAAAAATACATATCCACTATACTACTTAAGCAATATGCAAATACCACTCATTCACCCTGCAAAATATGGTTAATAAATGTCACAATCATGATTTTTTATATCTTATCTTATATTTTATCGTAAATAAATTCTTCGTAAGAATTTCTTACAAATTTTGTAATATATTCTGTCGACGTGTATGACTTGAAATATTATCTGATAATGGATATTATGAGTTGTAAATGGATTTCCTTATTAAAATACTTCTGGATTTATTTCATAGCCGTTTATTGTGTTATTGGTTTTCTAAAAAGACAATAGATATCAATATTTAAATAACAATAGATATAAATAAATCATAAAAAGCCATACCAAAATATGCAAATAAAAATCTGTTCATCTCAACACTTTAAATGTATTGTGAACTTGTCTTATATATTTATCCATTTATAAATAAATATTTTTATAACGTATTGTAAATTCCCAATTTAACACTTATATTCTTATCTCTGAGACTTTCCGATGAATCATCAAAATATTTGAACCTTTCTTTGATAATAAATTTGGAATAACCTGTTTTATTGTGCACTAACTTATGTGTCTTATCGTGATTTGCTATGAAAAGTTCATTTATCGCAGTCCGCAAAAATATATGCACATTTTTGAATTCTTTAAAATTAGTGTTTTTTTTTTTGTCAACATTTTATAAAAAATGGTTATTATGGTAGTTTGTAATTTTATGGTGTCTTTTTTATTATATTTTTCACACAAGCACTTTGATTTAATGGAAATGGTTCATTAAAATTGTCATAAAAATCTTTAATGTTTAAGTTTTAAAGTGAAAATGTTGATTTTTAAATGTATAAATACAACACTATTATTCCAAAATATTTAATTCCTTTAGTACTTCCTATTTAGTAACTATTTGTTGAGCTTTTGCAATATTGTTTGTAGCACAGACAACGTTGCGAGAATGTTCTAGAGTAAAGATTACATTAAGATTGTAACCATCACGTAGTCGTAATTTAAATTCAAGTACCTCTAATGTCACTTTGAATTTAGTATTAATTATCTTATTTTTCCCCAACTTATTTCGTGACTCGTTTTTATGTAGCTGCAAGTGTTTATTTACTGAACTTTATTTTAAAAAATATACTAGCACAAAAGAAAGCGCGAGTTTTGAGTTGATTTCTGTGTTCTATATATTTTGTAGTGTAAAAATGTATTGTATATAACCACCAGTTTAAGTTGTTGCTTCCCAAAATCCGCACGAAGCAGGTTAGTTGCTGAAATTAAATGAAATTTGAGTTTTTTTTCCATATATTTAACCAAAAATGCACACACAATTTGACTAATCACATCTTTTTGGGACTTCTTTTTAAAAAAATTAAAATAAAAACCTCATTACAGTGCCGAAAAAGCAGCGACAGCGTTTGATATCGGATGGGAAGAGCGGCCAGGAGCCGAATCCTTTGATCCTGGAGCATGCCAATCTGGAAACGGTGCCACAACATATGGAGAAGCTACTGAAACAGTTTGAGGAGAATCGCAAAATGCCGGCTTCCGAATGGCTGCATTTGCTCATATATTTACTGGCCCTGGAATGCGGATTCGTGGAGGAGGAGACCTACGCCCAGAAGAGACACCTCATCGAACCGGTTCCCTCGTTTAGCAGTTTTCATGCCCTGAATGTGCGACTTCTCAGCGAACAGCCGGTGAATTATGCCGTGTGCTTCAATGACACCGCCTACTCGATGCGATTGAGGACCCTGCTGGATCGTCACTCGTCCGAGGAAGCTTCTGTGGTCGCTGCCCTTCAGTCCCGCCTTATGGCCATTATTCTGGGGGATCAGCTAATGGTCACCCTGTCGCCAGCACCGCCTTCCAAGCAGCCTGGCTACAGCATCAGCCTGCCCATCGGTCGCTATGTCCTGAATGTCCAGGCCAAGAACAAGCCCATCTATCATCGATTTAGGAAGCTCGATGAACTGTCCTTTCAACTCAAGCAGAATCTTTTCCAGCCCATGCGATCGCAGCAACTTATGCAGATGGAACAGAAGCTACAGCCTTCGCTATTGGGTCTCCCCTACGAACTTTATCATGAGATCTTCAGGTATCTCAATAAGAGCCAACTAAATGTGGTGGGGAAAGTCAATCGACAGCTGCATTTCTACACCAAGGAAACGGAACGAAAGAGGGAGCAGGGCGGCAGGGGTTAAGTTTGAACTTGGGTTTCAAAATCAATTTAATTTCCATGAAATTCAGTAAATTTCGGTATTTGGCTCTCCCAAAATGTCAAGTTTTATACAGAAAAAAATTGATATATTAATAAATGACATATAATATATGTAAGTCTTTCTTCGATATATATAGGAAATACTGATACTAAATCATAAAGACTACAAAAATATCCCCAAACTAGAAATACAGAGATTTTTGAAATGTGTAAGGGGCAAAATAAATAGTTTATTTTTATAAAATATGCCAAACATTTAAATGGCTGGTTAAAATAAATAATCTGTTAATGATAAGTCGAATTCTAATGTTTTTACTTGGTGGTTTCAATGGATTGTAAATTAAAAAGGTAATAACGATTAGACAGCTTAAATTTCTTTGCTAATTTTAGTCAAATTTGTAATAAAAAAGGTTTACTTTAAAAAGAAGCGTCGCCTTTTTAATTTCTACTCTTTTTAATAATTATACAAATTTGAGAAATTAAAAAAAACCTTTATTTAACCTAAGTTAGGCAAATTAATTGCATTTATATGTTTTAAG